GCTTGAGCAGCTGACTAGCTGTGACCACTTGCTGCCTCATACAAAGATATTGAAGCTTATAAGCATTGATAACTGCGGTATCCAAGATCCAGTATAATATGGGAAACCAGTTATGATAGGTAGTTCTATGAGTCTCGTAGGATTCCCTATACTGATTTGCTAGGTCAATTCCATTCATACTATGATTATAGTCAATAATCAGAGGAATTGGCAATCCCTTGACTGGAAGATCTTCAAAGAATTTTCTAGCCTCAGTTTCATGGGGTTGAGATCTTAGCTGGCCATTTTTACTCTCGAATAACAAAGATGTCATATGAGGATGAATGATAGTCAATGCTAATACCATATTATTGTCTTGCCAGCCTAGACAGAGAACTTTATCTTGAGGTATATCACATAGAGCATTCCAGGGAATCTTCTTGGAGATTGAATGCTCGCGTAGTTCAACTAGTAGAGGTAGAAGTGTTTGAGTCTAGTAGTTCCACAAGCTCCAAAGCCGCGATCATGAAGATGGTTGAACAGAGGAACTGAGGTGAAGTAGTTGTCCATATTAACTAAATAGAGTGGGACCTCCTTGCTGATTGATTCCTCAGCGGGCTGAATAGCTAGTTGACAAGGGGGGTTGGAATTCCCCGTAGATATTGATATCGAATTTGAATCCCCCGCATAGGTGTGTAGGCTTCCACCCAAGATGCGAATAATCATCTCATCCAAAGAAAGATTGAAACCAGAAGTAATAGTACCAGCAGTATGAGAGCTAGAGACCAAAGGTCCAAGCTTATTCCATCTTTCCTTTCCTTTTGAGACTGCTGAGGGTCAGACATATGAATAAATCTCTATCATGGCATATGGAATTGATGTGAATGGTCAGTTCCTTGCTCAATATCACATCAGCTATGACTTCTTCCTGCTTCCGTTTGCGTTTTTGAGGGGTTTTAGAAGGGCCTAATTGACCTAGTCAAAGTAAAATGAATATCCATTCTATAACAGACTAAGGGATTTACCAGCGTCTTTCCCGGTAGGGGATGGGGGATTCCATGGGTTAGCTGATGTTAAAGAGCTATATGAGTTTCATGTGGTCGAAGAGAGAAGGTTTCCAGGTGAGTGTGAATGAGCCAATAGACCACCCATATAAAATATATTGGGATTCTATTGGCCAAGCCATTCTAGTTGCCTGTCCACATTTTACCCCAACTGAAACCACGCTAATTCTGGCAACATTCACGGGCGAGGGGATGGTTCAACACAACTTCATATCACTCTCCATTACAGGTGTAGGGAAGAAACAAATGAAAGTAAAAATTATTCAAACTTATGCTTGAACAATTTAAACTGAAAAGAGTGTCAAAAAATAATATTCTCTCAGAGAATATATATATATATCATTGATGAAATTGACTTTCTTAATGAAAAAGTCTTTGCAACAAGAAGATGATGATTCTTAGATCTGAAGGAGCTGAATAAAAAACTTACAGTTTGAAAATTAGAAAATAAGTCAATACAATGAAGTGACGCTCTATCTTCATCACTCATTCTTACAGAGTGGCAACGCTCCGACCGCGTTCTGCGCCCGGCAGCGTTTCTATGCATCATCATCTTTAGTACCTCCGACGCGCAAGGGTTGCCCAACTCACCCCCGCGCGGCAGCAGTTTACGTATTGAAGCGGCTGTTGGAGCTAGTCAACACCCGGCCTTCTGTTCAACCGTTTGAACCTGTGTTGGAGAGGGTAGCATGTTCATGCCGATAGAGTATGCGCCTCAACATACTCCGTACATATACAGTAGTTAACCGGAATGCAACAAGTATCGGCAACCCTCTCTGCTTTTCTGACCATTCCAAGCAGAATAAAATTCCGTGGGGGGGTTTACCAATGCTTTTGCGGAGTTGAACTGTCGCAGAGGCCAATCTGTCGAGGGAACGGGTTTGTTTTCCTTAAAGCCCTAGCCCCCAGCTTTCAATCAGCCAATCAACCCCCTCCGATAAGCTTGTTCAGCGCACCCAAAAAAAAGAACAACAGCCCTCCGTTCGAGGCCCTCCTCCTTCCTGGCCCCCCTGGTTTCTTGCTGATAAGGTACGCAGCATCAGCAAATAAGAAGCCGGCCTACTTCTGTGGGCTAGAGCCTAAGGCGGAAATGTTTTTAACCGTTCTCAGCTCCAAAGGCAGGCTCTTCATTTCTCTGCTGTTTGATTAGATGGGAGATTTGATGTATTTTGATGTGTAGGAATTGGTTTCGTTTGTAAATTTCGGTTCAGTACTCCTGCTGTTATTTTGACTCGGGTGTAATTTCATTTGAGTTTGCTCGTTCTTCGATGGCTCAGGTTTGCTGAAACACGTTTATATACCAACTACTATATTTGGGAATCGGAAGGTCAACCTTGAGACTTTTGACCTTACGCAGACGTTTGAATCATTAGTGGGATTGGGGATAACCACAGAGAGAGAGGGGTTTGATATGCGGTGGGGTGAAGTGATGTTTCCCACCTCCCTCTCTCCATCTCATATGGTTTTTCTTCTGGGGAGCTAGTTACTATGCGAGCGGAGAATTGATATCCAGAGTTACCCCTGTTACCACAACCCCCAACCCCCTTATCTTTACATCCCCCCCGCCTTTCAAAGTATGTATGCTCTACGACAAACACGACGGTTGGAGGGTAGTACGGGGCTCTCGGAGGACTTTTACAAATCAGGACGTTCTTGTGCGCGATTTTCTGCGGCACGGGAGCTAAGTTTCTTTCGCCGGGAGAGACTTTTAGCCTGAAGGGTTCGAACCATGGAGGGGAACAGAAAAAGTTATATATCTTCATCAGATAAGAGATGATATATGTCAATTTGTCATTGATCAATGTCAAAGACGATAACGCTATGCTGTGACTATTCAGGTGTATATATATACAATACCTAGGTCTGCTCATTTAAGGTTGTTCTGTGGGCGAATACAGATAACTAATCTGAACGTGGTTTTAAACCCTTGCCCTAAAAATATTCGGCGCGGTTTAAAGATGCTGTATAAATCATGACATGCCCTCATTAAAATTACATACATCTCCATATGCTCTTGACGATAGCGATTTTATCACATATCTAGACCATTTACCACTTAACTATCCCCAATCCCAAATCCTAACCTACCCCTGGTGTTGAGGGCGATGACGTTGAATAGAGATTGCAGTAGTAACAACGTGGCGTAATTATATGAAGCGTATATGGATTGTTTATTTTAAATTTGGATGAGGTGATACGTTTCAACCGTAACCCCAGATTTTGTTAACCTACGTTTTTTCCGGAGCGGGTTGAGCCATTTTCATACCCTTGACAGGCGTGTCCGGGGTCGATGATTTGCTGCCATCATTAGTTATAGTTAATAACTAAGTTACCTGCTCTGGTGTAAAAACACAGTTGGGATATTATCAGCAGCAACCCGTAAATATCAGACACAGCAAGCTGCAGTACAATATTCCACATGAACCCCCTCCCGTAATATAACATCATACTAACCAAAACGACCTTCAATTGGAATAGGCTGGCTAAAGTATCATATTGTCAGCGATTGTCGGTTGGGCGGATTGTCTCCAAGGGCGGGCAATGTCGGGTGTGCCAGGGGCCCACTTGTTCCAGACCCTGGCAGGCTGAGCCATCAGATGTTGGAAATACGAAGTAAAGGAGAGGAATTATTACTGTATTTGGCATGTCCCTCATACAAATTAACACTCGTTTAATAAACAAGCCTGTCAGGGCTGAAGGGGACAAGCAGATAAATTATCCATGACCTATTACTAAAAGAACTGAACATGGTTGCATCATTCTGCGCAAGTACTATAAGGCAAGGCTGAAGTAAGCATTGATGACAACGATTGAACAGTTAGTTACATCAAGACTGAGTTCATGTTTAGTTAGGTGTAAAAAGACTCCTGAGGCCTGTGAGAACGAACTGGTTTCCAATACCGTACATTCGGCTGATTCCATGACATCATCGTCTCGGGTCGAGTACAAATTGTGAAAATAACTGCCCCCAACAAGTATAGTTTACGCACAGAAGATGCAGCTCGTTGCACGTGAAATATCTGGTAAATACGGGTTGCAATTGCCACGTCCCGAAGATTAGTTTCCGGCGACATCCCGGCTACACCCGACTACTGTACAGAATTCTCCCCGCTGTTGTATTATTCCTGGAACCCGAATCTTCTTGGAATCGAGTCTGTTTCTTCGGGTTTTGATAGACGAAGACAATTTACACTCTGATATTCCGAAGTCATTCCAGGTCCAAGCAAGTCGGCATATATCCAAGAAAGTATTTCTCGGCCACGCCAAATCCGAATATCTGTGTGGGAGTTAACCGAAGGGCGGCAAGTTGGGTGTTGGGGCAAGGAAGCGAGCGAGCTTCGTTCCCCAAAGGGACTCTTTTTGGCTAGCCAAGAGAAGAGGAAAATACCCAATCAGTGCCCAGGTACCTTAGTAACGGGGGATTGTGTTGAACCCGCGCTGTCATGTAGATTTGCACAGGCATATCAATCGAACAGCCGTACACAGGAACATCGTAGATCCTCGTTGGTTCGGCAATTGAAAGCCTCCCATCCTCTCATGCGCGGGGTGATTGATGCAACATAACGTTAGAGATAACAACCCTCCGAAGCTTTTTGGTTACTACAGAATAGTCATTGTGATTATTGATAATTATTATTATTATTATTATTATTATTAATTTTTTTTGGTTTTTAATTGCGATAACGGTTTTATGTGCTACGCGATATCGATTCGGTGACATACCGCCACGGTAATAATACGGTGATTCTGGAACTGCCCAGTGCCAAGTTGCGCTAAGACCAACAATACACACCACGCAAAAGTTAGTTAGTTCGAACGACAAAAATCCTGTGTCAAAAATATATTTGTACGAAAATACTCTTCTGGAAAAGGAAAGGAACCAAAAATAGTGGAGTTTTCGAAAGAAGGACAGTAATGTTCTTCCTGAAAACCCCTGGGGAGTTCAAGCATCTTATAATGAGTGCGAGGTTTGACCCTGGGACTTTGGGTGATCGCACCGCCACGATTGGGGCCTCGTTTCCAGTGGCTCAGCTGTCGGGACGGAAAGGGAAACGATACCGATACGGTATCAGCAGGACGATACATGACGATACATTACTGGACGGGTGCCAAAATACACGCACATGCCACCCCACCCCCAGAAAGAAATAAAGTAAAGCAGGTTGAATAACTTCTTCGCCTCCCACTTCCGCTTTTTTTATTTCTTCCTCTTCCTCCCTCCCTGCTCTTCATTCAAAGTCAACCCCTCTTCACGCCAAATCCATCTTCGAACTCCTCCTCTCAAACTTCTCTTTATCGTCATCGCCATCAATCTCCTATAACAGCTCAATTCTCTTTCTGCGCGCATCTCTTGCCCGTCGCCACCCTTCTCTGAAGCAACACACCGCACTCATTCTAGACATGGTAGGTTGCCTTCACGCGCCCTCCCGTCTACCACTCCTCTCTGTTGGGCCGGCAGTGCTATAGAAGAGAAGCATCGGCTAACAAACAGTATGTGATTTAGGGTTTTAAGCCATCACATCTCTCCAACACGGAGAATGTACGTTTCCCTGCCCTCTACCCTTGACTCACTTTGTCATTTTTCGCTCCTCTAGCTCCCCCCAATATTGCACGGGTGTGAGGACCGCGTTTCAATTCGCAACAGGAAGTTTGACTGATGGATTTTCTCTTCTCTATTGCTGTTTATAGCTCATGAAGTATATGAGCCTTGACCAGCGGGGCCATGTCCTGGCGGAGTATGTCTGGATTGATGCTTCAAGTGGCGTCCGATCAAAAACAAAGGTACGACTCCACCCACCCCCCACGAGACAGCACAGGTGCAGTGCATGGAAGGAAGTTCTAACATGTCCATTGCGAACAAACACAGACCCTTAACGGCCCGGTCAAGTCAGTTGAGGAGCTTCCAGAATGGAACTTCGACGGCTCGTCTACAGGCCAGGCCCCCGGTGAAAACTCAGACGTTTACCTGCGACCCGTTGCCATGTTCCCAGACCCTTTCCGCCGCGGCGACAATATCCTCGTCCTCTGCGAAACCTGGGATTCGGACGGCTCCCCTAACAAATTCAACTACCGCCACGAGGCTTCCAAGCTGATGCGCACTCACGCCCACGAACATTTTTGGTTTGGCCTAGAACAGGAATACACCCTCCTAGGCCCTGACGGGTGGCCATACGGCTGGCCCAAGGGTGGTTTCCCTGGAGCTCAGGGCCCATACTACTGCGGTGTTGGCACTGGCAAAGTCCATTGCCGTGACATCGTCGAGTCGCATTACAAAGCCTGTCTATATGCTGGTATCAAAATCTCTGGTATCAACGCAGAGGTCATGCCAGCTCAGTGGGAGTATCAGGTTGGGCCCTGTGAAGGCATCACCCGTAAGTACATGCATGCATTTTGCATATGGTGACCTTAAGAAAAATTATATACATCTAACCCATTGCAATCACAGTCGGTGACCAGCTCTGGATGTCCCGCTTCCTTCTCTCCCGCGTCGCCGAAGAATTCGGAGCCATAATCTCATTTGCCCCCAAGCCAATCCCCGGTGACTGGAACGGAGCTGGCCTGCACTCCAATGTCTCCACGGAAGCCATGCGTTCTGAAGGTGGCATGAAGGTCATTGAGGCCGCGATGAAGAAGCTCGAATCCCGCCACTCAGAACACATTGCCGTCTACGGTGAGGGCAACGAAGACCGTCTGACTGGCCGCCATGAGACGGGTAGCATTGATCGATTCACCTATGGTGTTGCAGACCGTGGTGGCAGCGTTCGCATCCCACGCCAGGTCGCGAAGGACGGCAAGGGATACTTCGAGGATCGAAGACCTGCGTCTAATGCGGATCCGTATCAGATTACCGGGATTATTGTTGAAACTGTAAGTTTTCTCTTCTTGCTCAAGATAGTAAGTGGTGGTGGTGGTTTACGGTTACTAACATGTTATTCTTCCCTGTAGCTCTGTGGCGCTTCATAGATGGGTTTGAATGCGTTTTCTATTTCGTATTTACATGCGCTCTTTTATACCCTCAGGCGTCGAACATGGGTGTTTGGAGGGATGAGGTGTTTGATATCCAGCAGCTTGGACAAGTAAAGATGAGGCTAAAGATGCATCTCACTCGTTTTCCCCGCCTGACAGAAAGATCGTTGTCTTCATGTCCCCCAAACCAACGCGAAGTCCTACATCATATATACAGGCAGTCTTTTTCCCCTTACGATCCCCCTTATCCCTAATTGCACATTCGTCCTTCGTGGGGTTAAACTATGATCGTATGATGTTGATGACAATGATCTGTTCCATTTGTCCCGTCTCTTCCAGGTTCGCATCATCAAACGCCATCGTTGATTCGATAATAACGGCATTGTTTCTCGTGTGTTTTGGGGTCTCTAATGTTGTTTCTATTCTTCTCTTTCTTTCTGTTAATATAGACTCACTCTAGTACTGGCTGTCTCTCTCAAGTCATGCTTTTTCTTTTGTTCTGTTAATGTTGATGTCTTCACTGCGTAATTCTGCTGCCCCTGTTTTACTTGCCTGTTTGCCTGTTGGCCTGAGTCGTTTGGTCTCATTGATAATAGCTAATAATACCTTTAACGATATTTATATTGTCATTTGATGCCTTTGGCAAAAAAACAGGGATGTAAACTACACTCAATAGTCATATCTGGTGTGTGTGAAAAAAAAAAAAAAAAAATCCAATAACAGAATATTTATACAGAATACTTCAAAGATAAATCATATGTATTTCCTCTCTATACTACAAGGTAGCCTTCGGCTGTTAAGTTATTATATAAATACCTATCTAGGGAGGTATACAATGCAGGATTCTTATGCACCAACAGCACTCTTATACCATCTTGATTGGAAACTATCATACATCTCCCAAATCCGCCATTGGCTCCCATAGATCTATCTTACTTTTTGGTTCACCCAAAACCCCTCGCATGCATAGACTAAAAAGTTATGCCAAGTTCCTCTTCTCTCACATGTTGATAGAAGGGCGCAGAGGCGAGGGCCGTGGGGGACCTCAATCGATGAACCGAAGACCAAAAGAACAATCTCTGCCCCAAATGCTTGGGAAGTACGTATATTTGCAAGCTCATACAGCTCAGCAGGGCATGGAGGAAAGAGATTTCTTCAAGAGCAATCAACCCATTTTGAGAGAGGTTATTTTATGCATATGCTAGTGATCTGAAGTCCAGTCCATCCATGGGTCCTGTTGGTCTTGGTTCCCGAGGGTCAAGTTGTTATTATTAGTTAAACATTAGCTTAACTAAGGGCCAACCACATGCCAACAAAAAGTCCAAAGTTCCAAAAGACTTCACAATGAGACTCTTTAAATCCAACCCTCTGGCAGGCAAAGCTGGGGGTAGTGTATCTTGGGGAAAATGTAACAGAGCCCATGTGAAACCTCTTCAGGTGGATGAGGTCTGGAGAGTTCAACCACCCTATCCATCACAATAGAGGAATGGAAAAGGGGGGCGAGAGAGCACATGAACGGGCTAACTTCCCGCATTCCACTGCACGGGCGTGCAAAAAGTCGGTTCGATTAACTTGCCAACTCTTCTGCTTTTTGTTACGATTCTTCATGTGAAGTTAACACTGGGTACCCCACCACTACTCCTGTGCTGCTGATTTTCCGGGGGGGGTGGAAGAAAAAGAAAAAAGAAAAGAAAAAGAAATAAAAGGGGTCCATCTTATCTCTCTCGAAATCAGGTCTAAATCCGTTTATGAAGATTGATTCCATCCCTTGCGCGTATGGATGGAATCACCCTTCAAAACCCATTTGAACAAGATACTACACTTTCTCTACAATGTGGAATATGAACATTGGCAGTCCCTCAACCTGATCTGGGGAAGTGAGCGATATTCAACCTCGGGGCGCACCACCCCCCTCCCTCGGGAATATCTATCGACCAGCGGCAGATGGCTTTTGCTAAAACCAACGCTTCAACGCCAAATTAATAATGCCAATGTCGATACACAACGCCTCAAAATTCGATAATCCACCAACCAAACCCGACACCAAAACGTCCCGTCTTTAATCAGCATCCCTCTAGGGCTCGAATTTGCTGATTGGTAAAATCAAAATCAACACAATGTTCCCAAGAAAATCACCGCAAGGGGGGCGAGGATACTCGAAACTCCGGCAGCAATTCCATAGGGCTCGAATATTTTTAACAGCACGCACTAGACTCTGTAGAGTAATCCAACGAGCACTAACCCCTGAAGGCTCTCTTTGAGTTGGACCGGCGCATGAGGTCTTTGTGCGCCGATTCGCTTGGCTGGGGGTCCGGGATTTTAGGCCCTGATTCCCTGTTCAGTGTTCCCTATACCCTGCAAACTATAAGAATCCTGCAACGCACAAAGAACTGCGTCTGAGTATATATATATACCTTGACTGTGACAAGTTCCAAGTTATTTTTTTTTTGATTTTTGTTTCCTCTCAATGGGATATTGGGGAACCAACTGGTCTGTTTCAGCAGCGTATTCCATGGGTGAGAAGACTGCATTTCAATCTGTCGTTGAGCTCTCGGCAGGTTCGTCAGCTTGGGGCCTCTGGAGGCGAGTTTAGGATATTGAATGACACGACTCGATTTACCTTTCCTCTGGATATATATATATATATATCTGTTTTACATCTCTTCTTGTTTGGTTATATTCGACGCATATTTGTCATTTGAGAGTTGCTGTATCATTTGCTGTGGTCGGGGTTGTCCGGTACATGCCCCCTTCGGTCTTACCCTGTCGACCGACGTACGTTGTCCTGACTACGCGTTATCCACCACATATTATATTGATCACCAACCAAGCTTTGAAGGAACTAAGGACACACTCATCGTCGCAGTTTTAGCCCTGGGTTTCGTCAAGGCAGACCAAGACAGGTATAATTGGTCAAAAACGAACGAAGTCATGGCGAAAGAGAAGGGCACCGCTACGCTGACGATGATGGAACTGGCGGAGTCCGCGGAGTCGACAATGACAATGGGTAATAACACTAGAAGTAGCGATGCCATCTACGAGTTCGACAGCGCTGATCCCGCCAAACTGCCTCTGCTCCAGGCTATCAAACAATTCCCTAGGGTTGTCGCATATACCTTCGCCGCAACACCGGGCATTCTCCTGTATGGATTTGACATGGTCATTGTCAGTACGCTGACTGCAATGCCTGAGTTCCAGTGAGTGAGATGAATCGCCTCTCTGCAGCTTTTCCTTGTCCTTGCAGAAGGGCTACCTACCTCTTTCACTTTTATATCTATTTAAGCCAAAAGCCAACCCATCCACAACAGACGCGACTACGGCCAAATGTTCGGCAAAAAATACATCATCCCTTCCGCGTGGTTGGGTGTATGGACCGCAGCACCACCCCTTGGCAACATCGCGGGGGCTGCCGTTGCCGGCTGGGTATCTGATCGGTACGGTCGCCGCTTCTCCCTCGCGCTGGGCGCTGTGATATCAGCCCTTGGCATCGCAATCTGTTTTGTGTCCGCCTTTTCACCCGACATAGACGTTCGTCGGGGCATATTCTTGCTGGGCAAGCTTGTCGAGGGCTTCGCAGCAGGCCAGGCCATATGTACCGTGCAGATATACACCTCTGAGATCGTGACGCGTGCGCTCAGAGGGTCCAGCCAGGCGCTGCTACCTGTGATGACCATGATGGGACAGCTGGTTGGGGCCTTGGTGGTTTTTGGTTGCTTGTCGGTCGATGGATGGTGGGGGTATTTGATCGCCGTTGCGTCCCAGTGGGTGTTTTCGGCGATCCTGTTGGGTTCTGCGGTTTTAATACCGGAGAGTCCGCCACATCTTATCCGTGTGGGTAAAGTGGATGATGCTCGCAGGTCGCAGCGGCGTCTCCACCGGAAAGAAGTCGATACAGATAAGATGGTGGATAAGCTATGTGAGACCATGGAGCTGGAGAGGGAGATTCAGAAGAGGATAGGTTCCCAGGTGCGGTTCATCGATTGTTTTAGGGGTGTGGATCTTCGGAGGACGATCATCGTGCTTGTTTGCCACGTTGTACCGCAGAATTTTGGGCTGGGCTTGCTTGCGACAGCCAGTTATTTTGCACAGACCGTTGGCATGAAGCCGCTCCTCAGTGTTCTGCTTTTACAGATTGGTGTTGCAGTTGGCTTGGTGGCGAACATCATATCTGTGTGGACATTGTCTGTGACAAAGCGCAGGCCGCTTATGCTGTGGACGCTTGGCATTGCTGGGGCACTTTGGGGTGCAATGGGGATTTCAGGCTGCTTTGATAGCCCGGTGACGATGTGGTATGTCGGGATTTTTCTTTCATTTTCATTCATTCCATAAGTTTTCACATCGTGAGCGCAGAAGCAAGGCAGCATGGATGTAGCGACTGCGATAATTTTCTGACTCAACATTCTTCTTACAATGATATAGGTTCACGGCCGCAAGTATGATTGTCGTCATATTTGTCTGCGCGAACGGCATCTGGCCAGCTTCCGTCCTTGGCACGGCGGAGACATCTTCCCTTCGCCTCCGTGGGAGGACGCAGGCTATCGGATGGGCAGTGCATAGCTTTTATGCATGTATCTTCGCAGTTGCGTTGCCATACATATACAACACGGACAAGGGCAACCTTGGAGCCAAAACAGGGTTTATCTACTTTGGCCTGTGCGCGCTGACTGGATACCTCATTTGGAAACTCGTGCCGGAAATGATGGGTCGTTCTGCTGCGGAATTAGATATAATGTTTGAGCAGAGGGTTCCCACGAGGCAGTTCTCGAGTTGGTCGGCGGAGACTACTATAGCTGCTAGCGGTGTACCTGCTGCTAGATCTCGCGCCGCTGCTGCTGTTGCTGCTGGTGATAAATGGAGTTATGAGAATATACACGGTGGGGCGATGGGTTCTTCAACTTATTGTAAACAACCGAATTGATATCTGGGGATGCCGTATATTTTTAAATGCTCTTGATTCCATCTTCGCAAATGTTTCCCCGTTGATGCATGGCGGCTAATGAAGTCTCTCCGTGATTGGGTAAAATAAGCGCGCGGTAGCATAACTTAAACGCCGCATTAACCGTGGTTCTCCGCAATCGGTGGATGCCCAAGCCGGGGCTTACTGCGCATCCAAAAAACAATGATTGCCATGAAATTACGAGCTTGGGGGAAATTAATTATCCAAGCAGTGACTCTGATCCGTTTCAGCAGCATCATCCCCCAATTGTTATCTCATGGCCCTCAATCAGGCATACATTGAGGGATCCATGCATTTACATTTTGTCGACATCTGTACAACGTTTACGACGAAACTAGCTAGGACTAATACTAGCACTTTATTTCCAAAATCCCCTTTGGCAAACCCAGCAAATGTTGAATTAGATTGGTAAACACAATCCCTACTTCCTAAACAACTTTAAAACCCACAATCCCTTCAACCCCCTCTGCTTCACCTCTCTCCTCGCTGCACCATCACCACCATTCGCATCCCCATCCCCATTGCCGGCTCCATTCTTCTTATCCAAAATCCTCAACAGCACCTCCAGCAACACCGCTGCCACAGTACTTGCACACAATATCCCAACCATAACCAGATTACTCTTCCGATACTTCTTAGTCCCCTTGGCCTCACGATCGCTCGTCCAGCCAGTATACAGTGCATACGTAGTAAGGATGCTTCCCAAATTACCTAGACCCGAGACGAGCGCAGATGCTGCTGCTACGCCCACCTCCCCATGGCGTGACTGGAAGAGCTCGTTTGTCCACGTCATAGTTATTGGAACGGTGGGGCCTAGGCCGAAACCAACGATGAGCAGGCCACCATAGCGCCACCAGGTATTTGTGGCTGTGCCAGTGTAGGTTGTCAGGAGCAGGCCTACGATTTGGATTAGGACCGGGACGATGAAGAAGATGGCACGGTGGTGGTGGAAGCGGTCCGAGAGTGGGGTTATGAGGAGAATGGCGATTAGGTCCATCTGTAGGAGTTAGTGTTAGTTAGAGACTGGTGGTTCCTTTCATACTTTAATCGAGGCAGGAGTTAATTGGGATCGGGGACAGGAGATGGAAAAGTTTCTGAAAACGGAAAAATGAAACAATGAGTAACAGGGACTTCATACAATCCAGATTGGAGCGAATAATAAACTCAACTCAACACCCGTTAATGACGGATTCGCCGCTCGGATAATAACAGTCCCGTAACTCTGCACACCGATTCCCACGCCAACGACTCCAAAGTACATGATTACAAGTGGCCACAGGCGCCAATCAATCAACACGCGGAAGAGGTCCCGCAGGGTCCATCGGGTGCTATGGTACGCCCGCTTCAAATCGCGAAAGTGAATTTCTGCATCCCGCCCTCTGAGCACAGGAGTCGGTTGAGGAACCCACCATAAAAACTTTGATCTGGGTAGTAATTTCTCTCCTGGTGGAAGCGGGCGCTCCGGGAGCCACCAGAAGAGACTTATTCCAGTAAGGGTACCCGCGATGCCATACAGGAGAAACATCCACTGGAATCCGACGAGGCCTTTCAAGCCGTCCATTTTTTGGAAGCCGGCAGAGACAAGGCCAACGACTGCTGCGGATATTTGTGCTGCAGTGAAGTATTGGCCGATTCGTTTTCCGGTGCGTGAGGGCGGGTAGAAAAGTGTGAGATAATACGCCATACCTGGCCACATGCCCGCGATGACAACTCCAAGGAGGAGTCGGAGTAAACTAAGGATACTGAATTAGCCTGGGGAGTTCTGTGGAGTGAAATGACATATATGAAGGATATAATGGGAGTAGTTACTATAAACTCCACGCAGCTTCGGCTGCGGCGAAGCAACACCCGATGACGCCAACGCTGATAACAATGCGACTCATCCAGACACGAGGACTTAGCCTCGTCATTACTAGATTGGACGGTAGATCGAAAATCACATAGCAGACATAGAACAGCGCCAGGCTGGTTGAAATCTGGTGAGAAGATATGCCTAGCACGCTGCGAAGGTCGTGCTTTTGGTCAATATTCATCGTTTGAGCCAGCCCTATACTGGACCTGATGGCCGCACACAGGAAATAAAGGGTCCAAAATGGCGGGATTATTCTCCAATCGATTTTCCTAGGCCAGAAGTTAGTGTTTATTATTTTCCCCTTAGACTTTGTCAATCTGGTCTTTCACAAAAAAAAAAAAAAAAAAAAAAAAGGCTTTATCTCGATTGACGGAGTTTATTTTCCGTGATTCATAATTAAGAAAACCAGCAGTTCCATACTTATAAATGCGATCAATCGTCTCCATGTCAGGTTCATCCCCCTGTTCGGCATCCTGGAAGCTAGTTGAGTTATCTTCAATAACGGCCCTGCTCCCGAATTGCTCTTGAGCTCTCTCCTCTACCAGGTCTTTCCCCATGGTGTCAATGATGGGGAATGAAATGAGTGGTCTTGTGCAGTGAACAAGTGCTGTCTATAGTTATACTCCGGGGTAATCCGATAAAAATGAACTTTATGGGGATTTGCAATTTCTGCTCGCTTTGCGCGAATAGGCGTGTCGCAGTGGAGTTGGACAGTGTAACTTCGGTTTTTCAGACCTTGTCATGCACTAGTTAGTAGGCAGCATAATCGGAAAATAATGAAGTTGTTCATTTCGTACAGAATGCGGGAAATCGACTTTACCCTTGTGTTCAATCTCTCCGTTCTCCAAAGCCGAGTTAACGATGCCGGATAATAATAAATCAAGACTGCAAAGGCAGGATTTGTATGTACTGTCCAACTAAAAGTAAAAATAAATAAATAAAAATTGAATCTAGCTGTGCGGAAATGGAATTATTCTCGTTCCTCGCAAGTAGAAGTTACATAGATTTCAACTAGGCTCGCGAGGTCCTAAAAAGTGGAGTATCCGTGGAGAACTCAAAATTGGTTAACTTCGAGATTCAGATTCAAAATATTCAATTCTGCTGTCTCCACAACTAGACAAGAGAACAAAGTTGTTCCGGAATTCCCATGTGGCCCCAAGCAAGATGAGAAGTGTAAACCTTTGCACAACGAGTCAGTCATTTCGGAGAAATATGATAGGCAATTCGGTTCTGCAAGATTTTTATTGCGGTAATTCTCAGAGACCGGGCGTCAAAACAGAGGTGGGATAGTGCCATTGAACTGGCTTCTCCTCAAAGCTGCAATGCAAGGCAGGGGACAATGAATGCAATAGCTATTCATGATCAACTCTGTCTTATGCCACTTACCTCGCAGATCCTCCTTTGATGCTCGGCATCCAATCGAGTCACTAAACTACTTCAATCACCGAGGGGAGCCTTGTGGTTATCCATGTGCTGGAATCGGGAATGCCATTCGACTTTTCTTGTTCCTCGCGGAAACAAAAGGATGAAGAATCGGAAGGAAAAAATTAATGACAGACACACTGGCAATGATACGGCTGGCAATTATATATATGCGATATGCGATATCATGTTCTGCTTGCTGGTGGAAAAGTCGGAGATTGGTTCAACTCCAGAGCAACAAACAACATGCGATCTTCCCCGCGTTACTTTCGTTAAAATTACCGGGGGGGGGTGGGAACCCGGAAACTTCTTCTATTTACTGGCAGAAAAAAAGTTATTAACTAATCAGACCTGGTGCTGCCAATTGAAGGTCTCAAGGCACGCTGCACCATGTCTGATTTAAATTCTTCAAGCTCAAAGCAGAATCTGTTTATAGTTGAATATTTCAAATGTTCCGGGAACAAGGAGCCTCGTCAAGCACAGGTAGGTACCTGAAAGGGGCAATGTCAAGTCAGCTGAAGAGGGATTCTCTTCACTATGTAAAGTAAATATTATAAAACTTATATTATTTTTTATAAGATTAAAATTATTTTATTATATTATATTAAACTTTTTATTATAATAATTAGTTTAATAAAGATTCTTTTAAAAATCTTTTAATTATTAAAACTTAAAAATTAAACATTTTCGTAATTGTTTACTGAAGATTATATATAGATATATGTAAATTACTTACTTCCAATTAATTATTATATAATAGACTACTGTTTAACTAAAATATATATTAACTATAGTTGATAATTAAGGATTTTATATAAGAAGTTATAAATTAAAATTTAAAAAAAAAACTAGTGTGCATTTTTATTTTTAATTGTTGCAGGTAAAGAACTCGGAAGGTAATACTCGACAGCCGGAGATAAGAGAAAGTCAATTAAAACAAAATATCAGTAATAGAATAATAATAAAGAACTCACATTACGAGAAAATGATTAGGAAGAGCTATGAACGCTCGAATTGCCGGCTTCAACTTTGTGATCTGGGTTCGCATGGTGCTTATTTTCTGCCGTATAAGTCTCGAAACCTACAGCGCTAGATTTGCGCTGTTGCTCTTCGGTTTCATTGTAGTTGATCAGGACTTCACCATTCTTTCCATAGAGACACGGAGTCTCTGCTGCAACTCTCACGGCGCTGAATATCGAGTCGGTCTTGCGGAATATGGTGTCCATTTCTTCGAGAGAGCGATACGCGGTTTCGGGGTAGAAGATATAGACGACAGGGACGATGAAGGCGTTGCTGGTTGACATAGCATTAGTGTTGTTGGTTCACCCCTTTATTTCCTGATTGGCTGATGCGCCGGGGAATCTTGGAAGGCAATAAAAATAAACTCACATAACGGCGAAAATAATGTACGTCTTATATTTGATGGAGGTGAAGGCCACTGGGGTAACCATGACCACCATGAAATTGAATGCCCAGTTTGCTGAGGTTGATAGAGCGTTTGCAGGTGCCCGGATACGAAGAGGGACCTAGATAGTCACCAATATCAGTATCAGATCCGGTGTAAATGAAAAGAACCCAACACGGTCCGTCCGTAAGCACAAAAACGAATAAAGATATAGCCTTACAATTTCTGCTGGGTATAGCCAAGTCATGCCTAACCAACCGACAGCGAAGAAGGTATTAAAGACGAACAGGAAGACGGCCGCCACGATACCAGGCTTGGTTTGACGCTCAAAGCTGGTGACAACAGCCAAAACAACCATGGAAAGTGACATGCCAACAGCACCAAAAAGCATAAGCGGGCGTCGACCAACCTTCTCCACGATAAAAACAGGGATCCAAGATGCTATGAAATATTCGGTGCCATTGCAAGCAGCGAGAATTCGCGACATGAAGCCGCTGAGACCAATACTGGTCTCGTAAATCACAGCAGCATAATAAGTGATGAGATTGATACCGGAGATCTGCTGAAACATCTGGTTGACGTACGCCAGGACAACACGGTGGAAGTGACGTTCTTCAGTCATCGTGAAAAGATCAGCAAAACCGCCCTGTTGCATTTCGAGGACAGTATCCTTGATGGCAATAAATTCCCTGTTGATATAAGGGTCATCAGCTGCCAAATCGCTCAGTGCTCCTAGGACGTTCAGTGCTTCGTCTTCTTTGCCCTTGAGGATAAGCCACCGGGGAGATTCGGGTAGTAGCATCACGGTGGCAAGAATGAAACCGGCAAAAACAATCTGGAAGGCGACCGGGAATCTCCAGGAGACGCTGCTGGGCTCGAGGAATGAGAAACCGAAATCCAGCCAGTAGCTGAGGCAAATACCACCCGTGATCAGAGCCCCTTCGACCATGACCAGTTGGCCGCGGCGGTGAGATTTTGAACATTCCGATTGCCAGGTTGGGACGGTAGAGGTGTTCAAGCCATTTCCTAGACCCGTGATAACCCTGCCTATAACGAAATGCGCAAGACTGAATGCAGAGGCTTGCAGAACAGCCCCAACCACCATGATCACAGATCCGATAAATATAGTTTTCCGGCGCCCAAGGATGTCGCCAATCCAGATACAGACAATTGAACCAAAAAAGCAGCCAACATTGTAAGACGCAACCGAAATACCTAAGTAATAACGCACGTCAGAACACAAAATCAACGTCCTCACCAATACAATAAAACGTTGGCGAGCACACAATTCTACATATACGAGGGGCCAAAAAGTGATTCCTCATAATGCGGCTTCATGTAGGCACCTTGGATATTAGATCTGTGGCTCGCCTCAGCAGAAGTTAAAGTCTTTTTGGTCTTCTCCGTGAGGTCGATTTCAGGGAACGTTGATGCGAAGGAGGGCAGCGTCAAAAGACCTCCCATAACACCTCTATCGTCAAGAGTTAGGTATACTTGGAAGCTTAAAATAGATTCACGGAAGTCCTCCCGTGGTATTACAAGGGCACATTTCGTACTGGTCATAACCGAAGAGCCTGTGGGAACGGGTATAAGTTTCCAGTCTGAAGCAGAGTGGTACAGGAATAATTTTCCACGTACAGAAAATCAAGACCAGCAACAACGCCAATTGCGACGTTGAGGCGTGTGCCTCGGAGGCCGAAGTAGCTCCCACCCATTCTGTGGAGGAGTTATATTACACGTGCCTAATAGGATAGAAAGTCATCAACGGCTGCTAATGCGCGAAGTGGAGGACTTGGGTGAACAGATGAGAAGGTCAACGAAGAACACAGATCACAGGTAAACACAATGAGAGGAAGACAAAACGCTGGGAAGAGTAATAAAATATAAAATCCACTGGGGAGGTGGAGGGATTTTATGAAATTTTCGCATCCCCATCGTCGGGGTAGCTTAAATACAGGCTGCGCCTGTTCCCCGCCTCCAGGGTTCAGCTCCACGAGCGAGACTCCTGCACAACACATGGGCAAGAGCCAAACATGCATAAAGATCTGCTGGTCGAAGTTATTGACTTTAGCGTCGCGAATATCAGCCATCTCGAATGGACTTTTATATTTAATTTTTATTTTAATATTTATTTTTGGCACAAAATCTCCGCTGCTTGGAACCGAAAGCGTTGCGTCATCGAAACTTATCCGTCAACTCTTGAGACCGAAGGTTGTCGGTAACCTGAACTGGCCTCCCCTTCTCTATTCTCCAACCTTGGCTTTGGCTTGACTCCGGGGGAGGGGGCCTCAGGAATATGGAGACCTGCGGGGTTGGAACAAAGATTTCCAGTTCCCTTCCCTGTCCAGTGAAACAGGAGGGCATGTGGACCCTGACCATCTCACCAAACTGTTGGAGAATTCTCTCTAGTGGACACCGCTGACGATCACCAACTTTCTCAAACTGGACTTTGAAGCGCAGCAGAAGCCCGTTGGTGGGTGGTGCAGCGAGATTCCGGCCTGTGCAACTTTCCTGGTGAACCCATCCCACTGGAAACCTTTTGTTGGGAACTAACCAATTAATTAGTTAGTTAAGTTACCGATCTCTGGCTTGCCACTTTTGGAAAAGCCGATAATGCACCTATCCCTCGCCGACTATTCTAGCGTATATAACGAAGGGCAACGTGGTTTTGCAATAAAAAGGCTGGTGGAATGCAGACTAAGACGGATTGCCTACTTAGGTGGAATCTTTTGGAGAATTTCCATCGCGCTTGGGGCAATGCCAGCATGCGTTGAAATAGCTCCAGACAACCCTGCCACCAATATTTTGCCTGAGAAAAGAAAACCCAAGAAACAGTTGGTTATGCGACTGCTGTCAATCTTTCCCAACCGGCTTCACACGGACACCATCTTTCCAAATGAGAAAAAGATCAAAGCGGTCACAAAGTGTAGGTACAATGTACCTGTCGAGTCGTGTTCTAGAAGCTACATCTGCATCTCGGGATTTCCTGACGTAAGTTCCCATGAGGGATGCATCTCTGTGCACAACATGGACACGGATTTCCGTGGCGTCGGACAACCATGGAATGCATCTATTTGGAGAATTTTTGGTTTGTTGTAGTTAACTAGTTAGGTACTTGCCCTTGCGACTTCCATCAGCCCTTTATTAAACGTTGGGATGCTTTTGAAACGCCCGCATTAGTAGCCTACCGTAGCTTTCAAAGTGAATAACGGTAGAATTTGGACTCGGGAGTGGTATACCCTCCGTCGCATCCCTTAAAATCAATTTCAAGATTTCCTATTTTAGCAAGCCGGAGTTAGCTAATTAACTAGAGTAAGTGGATGGCTTCAAGAATTGAGCTGGCGCCATGCAGATCCGCCAGGTTTTCAATTTGACATGCCCATTTTGAAATACTCTGTACTTAGGTAGTCCCTCGTCGTCCCTCACACAGTCGGCTCTGTAGGATAATGTTACTAGTTAACTTAAATCCCAAGAAATCCCGCGAAACACCACCAAGCATGTTCCAAATTTTATTTTTCTGACTTGCTCTCTTCCTGTGTCTCTGCATCTCGTTAAAATGTCATTCTTGATCCTCGTAGTCAAGAAATTATGTCGCTAGAAGGGTTACATTGAAAGTTCGTTCACGACTTCAGAATCTCTTAAGCTTGCTGTATGGGCAGAAGTCTTTGGCCATGTCGGTAAAAGATGGTGGAACGAGACAGGCCGGATTGGGCTGCGAGACCATAAATCCAATATACCTTGGAAATAATGGTATTATAGGAAATAAAAAGAGAACGATAAAAGGTGTCAACAAAAAGGTTTGGTTATCGACATGTAACCAGGATTCGGGCCGGAATTCTCGGCTTCCCCGGCTCGGCAATAGAAGCTTATTTTGACGTTTGTTTTGCTCCCGATTAACTCTTAAGCGGCTCGACCCTCCCGACCCTCCCCACATTCAGGCGTTCCAATATTGGGATGACAACTTACAGGGGCTATGTGCCTCCACGGCTTCGAGGAGCCGTTTGACTATTCCGCGTTTCCCGTACAGATTAAGGATAACTATAGGGATGGCTGTCAAACAACTGCCTAAAAGGCCCACTTCTAAAGATATCCACCAAATAACGCCACAAAGCAGCCTCTCGATATCCTTCTGCCACACTCACGTTACAAGGTCAACTTTGATTCTTATGCATATATTGGCTGATGCTAGCTATAGATAAGCTTGCAGATGAGGGGAACAAATTCAAGACTATAAAGGCTGTGATATTTGCAGGTATAAAGGGGGAGGCAAGGTTTGGAATACGGTGATTCTTCACTAATTGGATTTCTACACCATTCATGCTGTTTGATAATGGCTATTTGCGCCTTATTTCTCCGCATTGACTGATGAGCATTAGAGGTGCGGATGAGTAACTTCGGACCTGGGAATGGCTCTTCTTTCATGCAGTACCTCTTCAATTACGTTTCGGATCAAAAGAGACTAACTACTAACTATTCTGCGTCTACTGGGAACATAAACATTTTACCTGCTCATTCCTTTTCTTTTCTGCTTTTTCCTATGATCCATATGTTCCTTTCGCCTTCTTCCTCCTCACTAAATCCCCAGCGGCAACGCGTCGCCAGCTAAGATCCCAATGTGAAATATAGTATCAATCGGTTCTGCGATCCACAGTTTCCCGTACGTCCCGAGGATCCAATGGCATTTTAACAGGCTTACCAGGTGGGAGCAAGAAGTGCCGCCGTCTCCAGCGTTTATCCAGCCCGGAGCACCTTCTGGAGCCTCTCTATGTTTCTTCCCAGTCGGAACAGTATAATCAGCTGAGCCGTTATTGACTGCTTGGACCTCGAAATTAACTAGCTTAAGCCAGCTCTCTCAATATATCAAACCTATTAATATTTTGACTCACCAAACTCCAAGTCACAATCTGAGATTTTATTCAGATCCGATCTTTTGTGCGGAAGTCGAAGCACTAGGTAACTCGCAAGTGGACTTTTCTAGCCTCATTGGTGAATTCCTCTTCTTGGGTGAATTCGAACAGGGACCCCACTGACCAGTTACCTACGGTAGGCATAGTTATTTATATCTGTTTGTACATGGGAGAGGTCAAAGCTAACGTTGAAAAGCGATAGAAAAGAACGAAAAGAACGCATATTGCTGCGGGTGATATTGAAAGCAACATGGATATTCTTGAATAACTAACGTTTTGATCATTCCACACGGCCCAACAGCTAATAACTACATGATTATGAAGGCGAAGCGGTGGGAGTGGACACGGTTGTCCAGTTTATTTAGTTGACTATCCGAGTGCTGAAAATTTCACTTGAGCCTGTTGTGCTTCGGGACTTTCTGCGGTTCCCTTGATTCCTTCGCATTCGCATTTTGAACCTACTCCCCGACCCTCTTCATTTGACTCTTTCTCTCAAGTGAAAAATAGGGGAAAATATGAGGGAAAAATAAAAATGCAAATATGAAATACAAGCTATGTATGCATCATCCGTGAATCGAACACGGGCCTCATCGAATTCCCCAAAGGTTGATGGCAACGATGAATTCTACCACTAGACCAATGATGCCTGTTTTGATTTTTGTAAAGTTCCCACTCTGTCTTATGACTAACTTAATCCACCACCCAGCGCCCGTTTACACCCATCGCCCGCCATTTCGCCATCACTATGATGAAATATTTTCAACATTATTTCAACAACGCAATTAGATTTTAAGATGATATATCATAGGATGAAAATATATATAGAAAATTACGTATGAAAATATATAGCTAATTCAGTAAACGTTTGTTTGGCTTAATAACTCGCCCAGAACATGAAATCTTGGGTGGAGGCAGATTCAGCGAGCAAGCAGTCATTAAACCAGTAGAGATTGCAATATCATCATATCCCTCTGGCAGTGGATCTGTGGGCACCCTGGCAGGGCTCTGAAAACGCGATTTAGCCACTCTTTGCGAAATCAAGGGTCTACTTTCCCGATTAGGAAGGGTGATTTTTGAATTCTTCAATCATCTTCTTATTCAATCATGATTGTAGCTGTACAGCAGCTCATTCTTCTTCCTTTTCTTTTTGCTCCTGAGCCTTTTTCTCATCTCTAAGCTCCTTGTCAATCTGCCGTTGAGCAGCTCTTGCGGCATTATCCATTTCCTTTTGCTGTTTTGTGGCCTGGCGAGCTGCCTCCCGCTCCATCCTCTGCTGGATGATATCTGCCTCCTTCTGTTCCTTAAGAATAGTGCGTTGCAGCTTTGCATCCTCCTTACAAGCTTGTTCATCCTTTTTGGCAACCTCTGAGGCCGCCAAATTCTCGCGGATGCTCTGCACCTTTGCCGGCGAGAAGAACTGCGCCAATGATGGATTCAAGGGATCTAGCAACCCCATTGCCCTGCCACGCTTGCGACGTCTCCTCTCTTGATTAAGAGCTTTTTGAAGCTGCCGATTCTCTATTAAAAGAACCTCTTTATCAAGAGCAAGATTTTCCCCTGCACGGATCACCCGGTTGAGATCATTAGATATTTGATGCTGCTGTTGCTTGACTTGCTTCACCAATTTCCGCAGGCCAACAATAGAAGTAGGTGTTCTTGGTTGATATATTGCGTCGGGGGGGGGTGCAAGGTCGTATTTTAAGCTTTTTAAGAATGTGTTCCGGATTGAATGGATGTAGGCCAGTAGCAGCAAATGCAGCTTCAATATTTGAAGATGTAACTGCCTCCTTCCACACAGTGTCAAAAAGCTGCCAAAAAGACCTCTTTGTAGTGCATATGAATCCCATTCCAGTTCTCATTCATTCATTCAGTTGTTTGGAATATGATTTACCCAATGGTCCAAATATCCCAACATCTAGCTGCTGTAATCAGTGTGTAGAATGGGGAGGAAAGACAGCAAGTAGAATTCAATTCCAATCTGCATAATTGATGAATGCCATATTAACATGGGATGAGTGGCCATTCAATATAAGAAGTCTATATCCGCGGCCTGTCTTCTTTTTTGTAAGAGGTTCAAAGATCTTCTTTAACCATGTTAACCCATATTCATCATTGCTCCACCCATTTTCTGAAGCAGCAAAGTAGGCCTGATCCTTTTCACCATCAAAATCTTCAAGCCAAGTATCTTGCATACCTCTTGATTCCCCTTGATATATGAGAGCAGGTGGGAGCGAAGTTCCATCTGCGCAAATTGAGGCAAGTAGTGTTATGAATTCTCGACTGCCATCCTGGCTGGCACCTATCATATGGCCCGATTTGAGCGAATTAATCGATACAATACATTTGAGGGAGTGAATGAATCCTAATAGGAATCCTTTCTCATCAAAGTTGTAGATATTCGCAGGTTCAAGGTTGTATTTCATGATTTTTGCCTGCAGCTGAAAAATTAAGATAAATTAGCAAGATGAGAATTAAAAAAGCAGTATAAGAAAGAAATCTATTACAAGATCAAAATAATGCTTGAGGAATGCAGAATTGTCTGCAATCTTGTGTTTTTGATCAATATTTCACAGATAGAGTGACTTGATCACATCCTTGTGGCGCTTGCAGAACTGAGCCACCCAGTTGACTTCAATAGGTGCTTTTAGAATCTCAACAACAAGATTATGAAGGATTTGGGGCGTACAAGGGAAACCGCGATCTGCCAATTGATTGATATGAAAAAGGAGCTGTTTTTCTTGCGAATCAGTGAGAGCTTTGCAGTGGATAGAGCTTGCTGCCTTTCTTGACATTTGAACGCCTCTATAACGCCTTGACAACGTATATCGGCTGATTCCATATTTTTTAGCGGTCTCAGTGTAATTAGGCGTTAATTGCGCGTTCAAATCATCAATCGCGGCTTGTATAACTGCTTCGTGGTGCATGTTGTGGGTGGTTAAAGATGAATGAAAAATGAAGATTTGAGCGGGCGTTGGGTGTAAACGGGCGTTGGGTGGTTGATTACGTTAGTTATCTAGTATAGACGTGCTAGCTACGTTGGAAGAACCAACTTTCGTACCATACGCTTAATTGATTCACACACCCTGAATGGCCTTATATGGATCTTTCTATCTTGGCTACCAGTGGCTCAGGTTCTTTGAAGCGCCTAGTACCTATTGACTTGTTCAAGGGTCTGGATCGCCCCCCGCAAAAGTTCCCTGATCCAAGGTAAGGTATGGACGAGAGCAAGCATTTCGCTGCATCATTTAGATAGAGCTCGAGCGGGATCGAACGACTGCACCGGTCTGCAGGAACAGCCTCAGCGTGCAGAGATTAGTCACTGGAGAATCTAGAGAATCTGCAAATTTGTGCGAGGAAACGCCCCACGGGCGCTCCCCAACTCCAAAACATAATGAATGTCATTGACTTGAGAGAGAGTTAGCCCTGATCAAGAGTTGTAAACATGGTGGTTATCGTTAGTTAGCTAACTGCCAAAAAGCAAAAGCTGGTTGTGTGCGAGGCCTTTTGTTCCAAATTCCGTGAGAGGTCGCGTATATATTCCATGCAACAAATAGTTACAACTTCAATGTCGATTAGTTATCATTATTAGGTTCGCTGTCAGTGGTGGTGGTTGATCAGAATGACAGCCCAATTCCCAAGGTTCTTAGTTAACTAAGCCAAGCCGAGGTAGTTGGGTTTAGCCGGCTCGGAAGCAAACTTGTCGACCTTGCCGAACCGCTGCCGCCTGCTGCAGCATGGATGGAGCTGGCGATGCGCCGAACTGGCTGATGGCTGGACGTCTGGCTGCCCTTGATAATGATGTTGGCGAGTAACATATCGGTTCTCCAACTAATGCATTCGGCACTGCACGTAGTTACCAGAGCAGAAGACGTTCTCTAATCCGCGATCACAACTCATCCACTCACCTTGAACAGAGCCGTTGCCAATTCACAATAGCTATGTCGCCGTCTACGACTACTCCTCCTCCTCCAGTGAGGTTTGTTCTCCTCGACTTTCCTGCTCCCCATGTCCTGCTTGTCACGATAAACCTCGAGAAGCAGATGAACTCTCTGCCGGTCGATGCGGTATGGGAAATGCATCGAGTTTGGAAATGGTTTGACGATGAGCCCGAGCTGTGAGTTGGAATATCAATGCGTGAATTTTATCTTTTTGGAGTTTCCTTTCTCAATTTTCTCTATTCTACGGTAGACGCGTGGGGATTATCACTGGGGCTGGTAAGAAGGCTTTCTCAGCCGGAATGGATCTGAAAGGTACATAAACTCTGCCATAGTTGACTTTTTTTTTTTTTTTTTTTTTTCTTTTTCTCTCAAACATTCATACATTCAAGCCCCTTGCAACGGAAGATATCAAGCTTATCGGCATATCTATCTGGCAGAGCGTCAATCAATGATAGCATCCGACTCAATTTCCGCCTCACGGCAAAATTCATATCCCTCAACGGGGTTTGCTGGCCTCACTCGACGAAAAGGCAGAAAGCCAATCGTAGCGGCCTGCAATGGACATGCCCATGGTGGAGGATTTGAAATCATTCTCAACAGTGACATTGTGATTGCGTCGGAAAATGCAGATTTCAGACTTCCAGATGTTTTACGGGGGACAGCTGCGATGGCCGGTGCTTTTCCACGGCTGTGTAGGACGTTTGGTCTCCAAAGGGCAATGTGGCTCGGTTTAACAGCGCATACTCTGACTGCACAGGAAGGCCTAGCATGGGGGCTTGTCCAAAAGATCGTATCAATTGATAACCTGGTTAAGGAAGCGGTGGATGTTGCGAAACTTATCGCTAGCATGAGTCCTGACAGCGTCATTGTCACAAGGGCGGGTATCCGACAGGCATGGGAAACAAGCAGTGTCGAACATGCTACGTTTTTGACAGGAGAGGCATACGCGGCTGACTTGATGGCTGGGGAGAATGCGAAGGAGGGAATGCTGGCATTCAAGGAGAAGAGACTCCCGAAATGGGTACCGTCGAAGCTATAATCAGCATCAGAACTACTATACATAATACATCATAGATCTCTGTGTATATCCAATACTACCCGTTCAACCCAACCTCATTCAAGTAATTGGGCATTTTACTGTAATGTTCCCCTCATTCATATCCAGATGCAATCTCAGGGTGCGGTGTTAGGGTATGTATGTGGCCATCGGATCTCGGCCCAAAACACTCCCATTGGCACTCCACTTCTGAGTTTCTCCGCAATTCGGCCACCCGGAGTCTACCCGCACAAGCAGGTTTAACAAACAACCTAGCGGCCTAGGTAACTATTCGCAGGGAGCAGTTCTCTTGATTTGGCTATGTTACCTCGACCAGATCTAGCCGATTGATATAAATGTTCCCTTTTTCCCTTATTTAAGGCTGATGCTTGCCTGATGAAAAAGAATTTAGGCCAAAGAATAGTATGTCCGTTTGATGTCCGCTTGGACAGCTAGGAAACTTTAGTTAATTAATCGATCCCTTTTCAGCATCCTCTCTGTTGAACTTTTCCGCCTTTGATCCATAAAAGGCTGAGGACGGCACGATGGCATCCACTCCCTTTGGATCAGCTGCACCCTACGCAGAGCCCCTCTGGCACTCCCGGCAGATCTCCCCGTACTATAGCGAGTCGCATAAGAAAGTGCAGGCATATGTCCGTGACTACGTTGATAACAACCTAAAGCCCTATGCCGAAGAGTATGAGAAGCAAGGGTTCTTGCCACCAGAGGTTAGAGTCAATGATAAACCGTACATATCTACATGTTGTGCTGGGCATGATTTTACTGACATGCCGCTCCCTTGCCATCCATCCAGGCGCTGAGGCTCCATGCTGAAAAGGGCTTCACAATAATCAGGCCCACAAAGAGGGAGTATATGGGTGGGGTATCCATGCCGGCAGGCATTGAGCCAGAGGAATGGGACGAGTTTCATAGCCTAATTGTGGTGGATGAGCTGAGCAGGTTCGTCTTTTTATATTTGCTTGAGTCTTGTTTCACCTCGCTCCATTTCTTTCTTACAGACCACATGAAGAATAAACTGGCTAATGAACAACATTTTTCTTTTTCTATGGCTTTGGGAATAGGCTTGGTTATGCGGGAGTAATCTGGGGTCTTTTCGGCGGAAATGGCATTGGATGTCCCCCAATCATGAATTTCGGGAGCGAGGCGCAACGACTCGAGTATATGCCCAAAGTCTCTCGTGGGGAGATACGGTTTTGTCTAGGCATTACTGAGCCTGATGGTATGTATGCCAAATCGCGGTTTTACTCAACCTGGAAGTATCCATGGAATTCACTAAATATCTTTTTCAGCGGGTTCCGATGTTGCCAACATCAAGACCACCGCCAAACGGAGCGGTAATAAGTATATTGTCAATGGGGCTAAAAAGTGGATCACCAACGGCCTATGGGCAGATTATTGCACAGCTGCTGTCAGAACAGGCGGACCAGGTCGCAAGGGCATCTCTCTCCTTATCGTCCCATTGGCCGCGAAGGGTGTGACACGGAGACGAATGGAGAATTCCGGCGTCAACGCCAGCGGTTCGACGTTCATTGAGTTCGACGACGTGGAAGTCCCGGTGGAGAATCTCATTGGCACAGAAAATCACGGTTTCACATATATCATGTCGAGTAAGTTAGTTACCTTGGTGCCTAATAATCCGCTCTCGCCCCCTTTTCCGGGCCTACCCATTTACCCACGTTCACAAAAGTTCAGTATCCAAACTAACCATCAGGAAGACTTCAATCCTGAACGACTTAGCATGGCCGCCGCCTGCATTCGCCTGTCTCGCGTCTGTGCTGAAGACGCCTACAATTACGCCATTACGCGCGAAACCTTCGGCCAACCATTGATAGCGAACCAAATCATTCGCGCCAAATTCAGTAAATTCGGCGAGCTGATTGAACCCTGCCAGGCCTACCTTGAGCAACTCACGTACACACTCCACGTCGCCGCGAAGACAGGCCGGCAGGATGTCGACGTCGGAGGAATGACTGCACTATTGAAGGTGATGACCACGCGCTGTCTGGAGAAGGTGTGTCGGGAGGCGCAGCAGGTTATGGGTGGGGCGGGGTATAATAAGAGCGGGAAGGGGGCGAGGATTGAGCAGATTAGTCGCGATGTGAGGGTTTTTGTGGTTGGGGGTGGGAGTCAGGAGATTCTGAGTGATTTGGCGGTTAGGCAGGAGATGAAGAATTTGGACGGTTTGCAGCATGCCGCAAAAAAGGGGGCGAAGATTTGATGAGGATAAATTAGTGAGCAAATTCAAACCTTCGACTTGATCCAACCTTTTAATTTGGGGTGCCAGAGTCAATTCAACTAGAAGTTGAAGCCTAGAGGGAACGAGATAGTGAATATCAATCAATCAAAGAAGTTGTATATATATATAACTGCTAGGGAATAAATACGGTAAATAGAGAAGCACAAGACAATGCATGCAAGGCTCCCTTCAAAATGCCGAACGCCAAGAATAAAACAAACCATTGATCTGAAATTCCCCGTTACCCAGGAAAATATTACATGATCAGGTGGTCATGTCAGGGGGAAATATGGAAAATATATTATTTGAATCAAGTCAGGATCAACAGGGTCAACTGGCTCCCAGAGCTCTTTTAGTTAGCATTTGCTGCGAATGGTCGGAAAATCATATGCGATCCTATCAATGTCGGAACATATGAAGTCACCAATACCTATTCACTCTCCTATCGAAAAATCCTCCCTATCATCCCAGATGCGAAGTTACTCGCAATCCCGCCGGACAAAGCACTGCTTGCAAAGTTCGACGCCTGGCTGAACCGGTCACATCGTGAGAACGCCACAGTATTCGTGATCGTAAGAATAAGTGCAATTGCTGATAAGGAAAGCCCCAAAAAAGGGGAAAGTCAGCGGTTCCTCGCCTATCACCAGCAGATACAAAAGATGACATCAGAATGAAATTAAAAAACAAAATGTCAGTACGACATACCAACTAAACTCAGCCAAATGACACTCTGCAGCCGTATAATGGCAAGGATGGCTAGAGAAATCCATAGAGCAGGAGTAGCGTACAGACCGAGCCAGAAGAAACGTTTATCTGTAGCATTAATAGTTCGTGTATTTGGGTCTGAGCTTTCGAATACCCAGTGGGAATTGCCGTCCGCGGTGTTAACTTCATTCCACCAACGGAGCCCGACAAGGCGGCGGCCGGCGATGTTTTTGAGGTAGTAGAAGTCGGCGGAGAGGAGGAGAAGGGTTAGGATAAAGACGAGGACGCTTTAAGGGAAGGAATTTTCAGCTTTGGGGTCATGGATGATATAACGGAGAATGTGACCATTTGTTCGCATGCAAGAAGAAGCTGGGAGGGGAACGAACAAGCTATTGATGAATAAAAGACCGAAAAGATACATTAATAAACTCCCTATTTTATTAGAAAGTTGGCAAACATTAGTTCAGTTCTGTAGATTGGAATAATGGAGGATTTGATGAGAGGTTGTGCGTGGTAGACACCAACCAATGCGAAAGCCAAGGAAGAATAACAGAGTCACTGGATGCGCGCTGAGGCGCCAGTTTAGTTCTCCGGGGGCACGTTGGTCCATGGCCAGGGAATTATATGCCAACGAACCACAATTTAAACGTTGTCTATTTTGGTCGTTGTTGTAACGGGATGGTTTGTTTTCGTAATGGATGAAGCAACGTTTGTCTTAAGCGCGGGTAGAACTAACTAGCCGCCAGCGGTGACCTGCGGCAGAACAACGCTCAAAATGCGCTCGAAATTGCCTCGGCCTTGGAATGACACGGGGAAACTCTTGCAAAATAAGTATGAATATTGCCATGACATAGAAAGAAAGCTCTGTATAATAACAAAGACGTTTTTGTTTCCAAAGCCTGAATGCATCCCAGACTAGCCTTCTAACTCGCACCTGATCTGATTGACAGTCATTTTCACAAAAGGAGAGCAATCTGGTGCTTCTGAGAGAGTTCATTCCGAGGCATATTTCACTTATCTCTGCATATCCATGATCCCGAACCAATGTTGATTCCTTCTTTAAGTCTTTCAATGGACGACGTTGAGGGGTTTGAACATTTGAATGCCGGAATCTTGGTGTGGCTGCCGAGTGCTGGTCCGTGCATCCCGTGCGCAGGTTAGCCGAGGAGTCGGGAAGGGAAGAAGCCCCGAACTCGACGACAACAGGCACTTGTAGGTTCCGATCTGTATATGTATGCCTTGCACTGTGGTGCAAAATGGAGCACTGTGCTTCTGACATTCTCCAACGATCAATATAATTTTAACTTTGGCAGCATTGGATCTTTTCTCGGGAACTGTCGTTTGGTTGTCAAAGATATCATCGATACGTCACCATGGCTGCTGCCATAAGCAACCTCTTGCGCAGGGCTCTACTCTACGGTATATATACTCAGTCCTTCAATTCAATCCATTCCCTGCCTCTTAGCAGCCGCTGATGTATTCTTCTCCTCGTGCATAGTTCCAGGATCCTCACAGCGCATGCTAGATAAATCCCGCTCCCTGGTTGCCGACTGCGTAGCCTACGACCTCGAAGACAGCGTAACTCCTACGAAGAAAGAGGAAGCCCGCGTCCTGGTTCGCAATGCCCTTAACCATCCCTTACCCTCTGGAATAAAGGAGCGTGCAGTGCGCATAAATGCCGTCAGCAGCGGTCTTGCTCTAGCTGACCTTACTGAAGTGGTACGTAGAGCGCATCACTGCCAACCAATTACCCCCCCCCCCCCCAAACGCGGGGTTTCTTCCCCACACCCCCAAAAACCGGGGGGAATGCATGACTAGATACTCACCAAATCAACACCCAGCTTCAATCCCCAAACCTAACCACCCTCGTCGTCCCCAAAGTCGACTCGGCCTCCGACCTCCACTTCATCTCCGACGTAATATCCCACACCCGCTCCACCGCCAAACCAACCCACGCAAACCCAACCCCTTCCCAAAACTCTCCCATAACCATCCTCGCCCTAATTGAAAGCGCCAAATCAATCCTCAACCTCCCCCAAATCTGCTCCGCAACCCCAACCCAACTATCCGGCCTCATCTTCGCCGCAGCAGACTTCTCCAAAGACCTAAGCATAACCCAAACCCCGTCTCTGACCGAATTCCTCTACGCGCGCTCTGCAATCGTCACTGCCGCCCGCGCCTACAATATCCCCTCCACAATCGACCTAGTGTGCACGGACTTCAAGACGCCTGCTGTTCTGGAGGAAGAGGCGCTGAATGGCAAGCGGATGGGGTTCAATGGAAAGCAGTGTATTCATCCCTCGCAGTTGGAGGCGGTGCAGCGGATTTTTAGCCCTGAGGAGAAGGAGGTGGAGTGGGCTGTTAGGGTTGTTGTGGCGGATGCGAAGGCAGCGGAGAGTGGGAGGGGAGCATGGACGTTGGATGGCATGATGATCGATATACCTGTTGTCGAGAGGGCGAAGGGTATTGTGAGAAAGGCGGAGCTTTGTGGGATTGATGTGCCAGCGTGGAGGGAGAGGTTTGCAGGGGAGGAACCACAGTAGGAATTTCGGGGTTGGGATATATGATACGATGGTTAGTTAGGGAAACATGTTCATCTACTATACGAGGGAGATATTAGCTATTTAGCTGAAGCATATAAAATTTTTGTTGAGGGATTGTATCACTATTTATTACATAGATGGTCTGAGATAGTTTGGACTAAAACTAACCACGATTCTAAGTAAATTACTCATAAGAGCTAAGAACCGGAATAACCGGGAAAAAACTATCTCATATTCAATGTGAAGTCATGTCTCTTGATACATTCAACATATATTTGACCATAGCCATATCCCACGGCAAGCCTACACAGGTAAGCAGCCCAGCCAAACAACCGGGGAACACCAGATACTGTTGGAAATACTGCTTCAGGTTGCAAATTTATGCGGCCCAACCACACTACACATCATGCACTCTGGAGATCCAATGGGTTACGGTCGGCTTTCTCTTTGCCGCACTCCCCACCCAATCCTCTTCTCATGAGATCTCTTCAATATCTTGCCATTTGAGTGAGCATTCCCGAAGTTGTAGCATCAAGAGCGTCTTCGATGATCCAAAATTAATATCGCAATGGTAAGTGACATGTCATGATATTTGTCATGGCTGGTGAGCTGCATACGGCCAAAAATAAAAGCGAAATGCTCAGGACAGTTGACAGCAGTAACGTTGGGGAACGGGTCACTCTTCTTCTTTCTTAGAAGCATTATCTCTCTTTAACAGCTGAATCTTACCCATAGTAAGTACCGGGGGGGCGGAACTATCAGCAGTCGTGGCACCTTCATCGCCAGCCGGGCTTTTACCATCCCCAGACGGACCCTCCCCATTAGACTTGGCAGAAAGCACACTGCGGTCATAGCTTGTCAGGTCGATTCCAAGAACACCGCCAATATGCCCACCACGCTCACCCGGGACACTAAACTCCCGGAAAACATAGCCCCATTCACTCAGCCATGCCTTGACTGCCTTTCCCACTTTGTCTTTGCCATTTTTACTTTGGTGGCCGGTACCGGTGATGGTATAGAGGACTCGTCGACCGAGCTTAGCATGTTCAACCAGGACACTTTCTAGATATTCTATTGCTTCCCCAGGGTGCAGGCCGTGAAGGTCAACGTACAGCTCGTCATCATTGCCACCCATATGTTTGTTCCGCTCATCGTAAAGATGACGGGCTGCCTCACGGTGGGAACGACGCATGGCTTCATTCTCAGCCTGTCCGCGGAGGGACAAGGCTTTGGCTGCACGTATGTCGTTTCGGTTCCAAGCTTGTGCGGCACTGACATCACTTTATTGTCAGGGTTCGTGTGGAAAGGGCAAGAATATAAACACAGAAACATACCTCTGCAAGAATTTATTTCGCACGTTACCATGAGTAATGGCATCGTAGCGGTGTTTGATATATTGTTGATTGTTACGTTTTCCCGGTTCAAGCCAGGGGATGCGTTTAGGGGCAGGGATTGCTTGGGCTGCGGCACTATTTTCGTGGCTTGCAGCAGAGGTACGATTAGATATTGGAGTACCTTTGCGACTAACGGGGCCTGGAGAGGGAGACATGCGGACAACATCAGCCAAGGATGAAGGATTGTTCTCCTTGTGTGCAGAATTGTCCCGGTGATTCCCACGTCCGCGTTTCCCATGGTGTTTCTTTCCGGCACCCTTGACGGCGGACAAGGTGGGAAACGCCTCGGGATCATCGACCGGCGGAGCGGCAGGATTTATTTCACGATGCTGATGTCGGCTTGTTGGTCGAGAGTGCGGGCGCGATGCCTGACCTAAGGCACTGTTCTTGTTCCTGAAATTTGGGGAAGATGTGCCATGGGACTGGCCTGCGTGCTTGCGTTGATATGGACTTAGCCAGGATTCTATATTCGAAGATTGGAGAGCGGGGAAAGCCTCATTGTTATCCTGTAACTGGTATGCTTGTTGAGAATTATCAACGAGCCCACCCATATTAGCACCATTCTGGTCGTTCATAGTTAATGCGCCAACCAAGGCAGATGGATCATGAGAAAATGGACAGCCTTCACCAGCAAGGCAGCTACCAGACAACCAATATCTATTATCGTATTAGTTATAGATACCTTATTTAACGCCTTAGATAAAAACACTTACTTGCAAACATGGCTAGTTAAATCGTGGCTGAATCGACAGTCAGCCCTGAGACACTGTCCGGTCGACAACCAGTATTTGCACACCGCGGGGCTTCGTGTCTGACCAGAAGGTGTGACAGGGCGAAGATGGTCCGCTGCCATCGACTTTCCTACTAGAATCCTTGCCCCATTGCCGGCTGTCGAAGCCTTTGCGCTTTCTTGTTCCGTTAGCGAAGCAATTGTGGCCCCCAAGTCGTATCCGTTGGCTTCAAGAGCTTGCTCAATCTCTTCGTTTGTCCTACCATCCCCGAGAACGGACCTCAGGATATCATATGGACTCATATCCGGTGGCGCAACACATTCCGGGGCAGCTCCGCTCAACCCAGTTGACGAGGCCACACTCCCGGCATCGTCGTTCACAAGCCAATCCACATTGTCACTTCCGTAGTCTCCATAGATTTCAGGAGGAGACGTATTATCCGAAAACTCATAGGAATTGAGACTTGGACTGTGGGGAATAGGCTGGGCCAGCGCAAGACGCGGTGAAGGGCGAGGAGACGTAAAGGGGGATGCGGTAACCGACCGGGGCGGACGGGGGAACCCTCCACGCGGCACAGGAAATCCGGGGGGGGCAGCAGGGCTTGTTCCTGAATTGGAGGAAGGGGATAGGGGAGTGGCTGCACGCGGGATTTGCCAGGGAGCTGGGGAGGCACGGCGTATCACAGTATGGCGGAAAGGAGGAGAGGTGTCAGGCTTAGTCGAGGTGCGATGACGCCACAGAACATCCAAGACCGCGTTCTCGAGAGAGCTACCTAGTAAAGAGGGCTTCTGGCGTAGGAGTTCCTCCAGCTTCTCGACCTTTGCTTCCTCTTCTGTGGACTCGTCTTCGAGGATTGGCAGACAAAGCTCATATATCTCCTCTGGAACCATTGTTTCTGAGGGGTTAGAGGGTAACAACGCCTCTTTTGGGATACGTAGCACTGGATAAAGACACGGCGCAGAGGATATAAGTGAGTTTTCTCAACCACAGAGAAAGTGACAGAGTCTGTCAATAAGAGTACAGATGGTACATGGTTTCAGCAAGAAATGGGATGACCAGACGAGGATGATGCGGAGGGGATGCGAAAAATTATTAGAGATGGTGGCTGAGGCAGTCGGAGGAATCGTGGAGGACAAACCTGGTTACATGGCACAGCTCACTGCAGCGAAAAAGCCGACGGGAAACAACGGCGCATTAAGGAGAGTTATAGAAGCAGAAGAAAGGGATAAGTACATCTACGAACTCTTATATATAACAGCAGTATACCACGATGGGTGGGGACGGTGGTGACGAGGCGAGGCAGTGATGGACGAAAGGTTGAAGTTGAGGGGGGAGAGGAGATCGTGGCGGAGAAAGTTGGGGATGTGGCTTTAAGGAGGAGGCAACCTTGGGACCCCATATTCACAATCTTCACTGTAACAGAGCAAATACATATATATATAATGTCATGCAAGTATTGAAGAGAAGGGAGATTGAATGTTGCAACCGCTCGTCCTCAAATTCCCACTGCTATTCAGATATTAACCATTAATAATATATTATATCAAAAGTACCTACCACTACACAGAATGAAATATTTAGGCTCACTGAAGGTGCTGATCCCCATCTCTGAGCAAAACTTGCATAGAAGTTGGGGATCACGTCCCAAGGTTTTCCTCCACACAGCAACTGAACAATCGGGAGATGTAATTAAATATATTCCTTGAGTTCAAAATACTAAAATAAACATTGAGTTTGAGAAAATTAAGGATGAATAATCCATATACCTTATACAGTGAGCAATTATTTAACCCCATGGATGCGATCAAATATTTATGAAAAGATGATATTTACAGCAGCAGCAGAATAATAATAATAATAATAATAATAATAATAATAATAATAATAATAATAATAATAATAATAATAATAATAATAAACCAACGGCGAATGGGCTGACGAATCAGCCCCTGCGGGCAGTTGTTCAGTATGGAGAACCTGAAAATAATGAGACAAGACGTTCAAACGCAGGCTACCAGGATCGAGCGTCAACGCACAGCCAGGCGGAACCAGCCCATGCTGACGAGCCATGAACGGGATCGCTTATTTGTCAGGATACGAAACGAGGATAAAAGGTTGTGAGGAAGGCTTTTGACGTTCTTTTTATATCTGTAACCAGTTAAATATCCTTTAGAATAAAAAGGTTGTCCTGTTCCATCTCCACTGTTTACTCATAACGTATAGTTTTGACTTCCTCTGACTACCGCGCTTCCCCTGTTTCTAGACGCGGCGGCGGCCGCCGCATCCTTCTGCCTGCTCAGGTTCTCCACAGCCCCTGCGACCAGAAAAGCCCGTCTCCAGCTGCCAACCCGAACTTGAAGAAACGCCGTAACACTTTACACCGCTCTCTGCCCTTCTGATATAACTATATGACTGTGTCTCCTTACGACTCCATCATTACACGAGCTGAATGATCCGACAATAAACATATCCCCAAACATCCGTGGATGAGTCGGAACGTAAACGCCCCCCCCCCCCAAATTGCCGAACTCTCTGAGAGATGTCTGCGGACCACTCTCCAACTGAAAATGCTCTCTACACCCCTCCGATCACAGATATAGATGGATCCCTGTCTCCCACATTAGAATCCTTCCGCCCGCCATGGACCCAGCCGCACTCAAGTCTCTCCCGCTCCTCCAGGAGGAGGTCCTCCATCTTTTCTGTTCCCCCTGCCTCCCTGCGGGATTCATCAATAAACAACATAAAACAGCTCTACCAACGTGTCTCTCGTAGATTTGGGAAGATGACTCTTGTGCAGAAAATTGGCACTGTGCTGGCCACTCTCGGGGTCATTTCGCTGGGTGTAGGTTTCGTGATTCTGACAGGGAAGATATTTAAGTGGTTAGAGCCTGTGGCGGAGGACTGGGAGAGCTCTAAACTTGCATATTTCGCCGTGTGGATATGCACATTTATAGTCTCTTTTCCCCCGCTGGTTGGTTGGTCGACTGTCGGGACCGTTGCAGGGTTTATCTTTGGTGTTTGGAAAGGGTATGTCAAACTTTTTGGAACGATAAACGGTTTCCCCCTTTATTTGAAATACCATACTGACCCCCTCATTCACAGATGGTTCATATTCTCAATCGGAACCGTAATCGGATCGACATGTTCATTCATCGTCTCCCGAACCCTCCTCTCCTCTTTTGTCCACCGATTAATGAAACACGACAAACGCTTTGCCGCTCTCGCTCTAACCCTCAAGTACGATGGACTGAAGCTTCTATGTATGATAAGACTTTGCCCGCTACCCTATTCCATATGTAACGGGGCCATCTCCACGTTCCCCACAGTCCATCCCCTCATGTACGGCCTTGCTACCGCAATCATATCCCCAAGGCTGCTGGTCCCGACCTTCATCGGCAGCAGACTGCGCATCCTAGCGCAGAACGGCGAGACGATGAGCGCAGGCTCAAAGGCAATCAATATTGCCAGCATTTTGGCTAGCATGGCCGTGGGTATCTTCACTGCATGGTACATATATAGAAAGTACGTAAAAGCCGCAGCTCCAGCGTCATATATCTAATTCCATATACCCAATTGCTCTGCCTTTTTTTTTTTAAATTGCTTTTTACGTTATTGCAAAATAAGTGCTCCCCAAACTCTATTCTTTATAGCATTAAACTAATTTCGAAACTTTCACATCGCAAAAAGTACCCTCGCCCGCTCTAAACAGCTCGAAGCTGAAGAGAGAGCTAACAACAGCATCCGACAATCCCAGTCCAGCAATCTGCCTCACCTCCAGCCGCCACATGTCTTCTCTGACGACCCGGATGAAATCGCCGCTGCAGAACTTGGTGAGGACGAGGAAGCACGCATTGGCTTCCTCACCGACGGTGCTACTGGTAATAACTACGATGTGGGCGTGGACATTGATGACGACCACGTCGCCATTGACCCTGTGGGATACCACGATGAATTTACGGATAATGACTCTGATGTCTTTGATGATGGGGATGAGGGTGGAGATGGAGATGGTCACGTTGAGGCGTATAGTTTACATCGGCATGTGGAGTCGAAATAGAGATTGCTTTGACTGTGTGTAGTTATGAATGCTGCATGTGCTTTATCTTATTGGGATTTTCATTTATGGTTGTTTGCATCAAGGGCGGACTCTAGATATTTACTCTTCCGTTGCATGTTATGTAGCTATTACATTGTCATTGTTTGAAACACACAGATGGGAAGGATAATCATATCTTCTTTTCCATGTATGTTGATTTAGAACGTGCTTGGATTTTCTTTACCTTGTTTTTGTCAAATGGGTTTGTTGGAAATGCCTTGGAGTTGTTGGTAAATTCCTCCTTGATAAAAGCGTCAATAACGGGTTTCATTTTAAGATTCGGTCCGAACCAAACGTCCCATCTTGCCATGATTCTCAGCTGGTTCATCTATGACCGTCACGAACGTGACCTTATTCAATTCCAACTGTAATACGGAGATCTCTCTCAAAATGTGAACTAGAGAAGTTATATCCCCACATTTCCGCTTTTAACCTATTGGTGGTATGACGGCGCCTTTCCTCCTGTCTTCTGGCAACTAGCCAGAGGAATGGGTTAATTCTGCATACGCTTTAGATGATGTCGCTGGCTTGGTTCGTTCATTTTTCTTTGCAAACTGTAAAAGCATGAGGTACTTCCGCCCAAATGCACAGGAGTTGAGATGAGGCAATTGCGAGATCCACCAGCATGCTTCAAGATGGGCAAGGACTTGAAAAAAACACCCCCTTTTGAAGTCGGAGATAGACGACATCTCATCGTATAAGTAGTTCGTGTAATCGGATCTTTCATACTCACGGACGGATCAAAACAGGAATTGTGTCAGGATAGGAACATATATGGTATGAACATATATTGAAGTTGTATAATGGGTGCAATTGATTCCCTGACGACTTTCATTAATATGCTTCACCGTCACAGAGTCTGGTGAAGAACACTTCAACTGGAATTGGACCGCCAGAAATGAAAAAAATTTGTTTCGAATGTAATGCCTAATGCATCTGTAGAGGTGTTTCCCGTTTCATAGTACGGTTGAGACTTAAACAAGCAAGAGGAAACCAGTTTTCAACTATCTCCAGATTATTCTTCCAGAAGATATCGTGTGGTACTCGATCATATCGTAGGTACTAGAATCGCACTGACTGCATGGAGGAAAACATTGTGTTGTTCTGTTCTGGACTTAGCTTCGCTCGTCGAGATCTAAATATACACGTGTACAACAGTGTTCAGTGGGTTCTGCGGCTACCCGAATCACATGCCGCGCCCATACAAAAAGTTTAGACCTCAGCTAAGCTAAGCTAGTTCAAGACAACAACGTTATCTGTTATTAAACTCCCTGGCAAAAAATGCTCCAATCGCCAATACATAGTCTATAGTTATTATTATTATTATTACTTATTTAACGCCTGGAGGCACGTGATCAGCTGACTAAGAATAGTCTGCCGTCGCGGCCACAGCACCTCCCTAAGGGTATCAGGCGTGCCAGCGCAGCAGCTAGTCTGCTGCCTGACATGTCTAGTCGGCCGAAGCCCTCTTGAGAGTCTATGTACAGAGTAGCCCCCGTCCTGGAGGTTCTGAATGGCGTAGTAGCCGAAGATTACGGGACTGAGGAAGCCAAGGGCTTCTAGGGTGGTGTGTAGGGGTGATGAGAAATGTATATAAGGAGCATAGGAAAGAGAGAGGGGGAGGGAGAAGTCGGATGTTGAACAGGTTCTAGTAGCGGCGTTGGATGTCGATGAAGAAGCGGGTATTAGTGCACCAGGTAGAGAAGGTCGTAGCTCCTCTTACTGTGCTGAGAAGCCAGTCAATTGCTTCCTTTGGTCCTCGGCATGCTTCAGGGGTTTTAATTCATTCAATGTTCCGGCCTTTCCAGCAAAAGAAGAAGTGCTCAGGGGTCTTATCTCGGCCGCAAGAGCAGGTGAGGAGTGCGTCGTCATGTGCCCATCTGTGATGATAGGCTGCAAAGTCACCGTGGCCTGTTCTAGCTGCCAGCAGGTGGCCTAGGTTCCTTCGGGGGAGAGTGAGCTCAGGGGAGGGTCCTTTTGGCATTGGGATATTGAGGTCCTTGTATTGTGATGTGCTATTGGAGCTCCAGTATTGTTGCAGTGAGGCATTGAAGCATTCTTTAGCATAGGATTTGGCCCGCGCCAGGGTCAGAGTGCGGCGAGTGCATTCCATTGTGCAGGCTGACTTGGCCGCAGCATCTGCGGCATCATTGCCTGGAATCCCAGCGTGGCCGGGGCACCATCAAACATAGACCCGTCTCGGGCCGGCTGGACCTGGGCCCTGTTTTGTCCAGGACCTGCGGAGTTCGTTGAACTTAGCAAAGGCGAGAAAAGATGTTTGTGTGGGTGTGTCTGTGTGGAGTCTTATTGCAGCCTCTTCATTGTCTAGAGCCACTATAATGTGCCGTGCGAACATAGAGAAGGGGTTCCGTAGTGCTGCCTCGAGACCGGCAACTGCTGCAAGCACTTCGGCATCAAAGACCTCGGCGGTGCGGCCCAGAGGCAGCTTACCAAGCTCCAGAGATTGATTTGTTCCTCGGTATAGACAGTAGCCTCCGCCTGAAACTCCTTGGCTGTCTTTGGAGCCATCAGTATATGTGATGAGATCGAGGGGGGATACAGCTTTCTGAAGCCAGTTTTGGAAAGCTGCTGGTCCTGCAGCTTGTCCCACAGCCCCAATTTCTAGTGCCTTTTGCTCTCTATTTGGTATGCCAGGATTGTCCCAAGGAGGCAAGGACCCTGAGCCGGGTGTGATGGCCGTTGTTTTAATGTTTCGTCTAATCCATTTAAAATGTGAGGTGTACCATCTTCGGTGTAGGGGATGTGACGGGTCGGCTGCAGCTACGCGAACGGCTAGTCGGTCATGTATTCTTTCTAGCCAGGCTTTGGCTGGGCCCCAGCTTGATTCGCGTAGGAGAACAGGGGTAGGCGTTGTGGCAAAGACAGGTAGAATGGCTCGAGCAGCGTTGTTGAAGGCTACCTGAATCTTGCCAATGGCTGCCTGAGAGGTTCGCTTCGAGAACCAGGTCTCAGCTCCATAAAACAGAGTGCTGAAGGCACAGCTTTGAGTTGCTTGTCTGAGCAAATGTGTTTGATTTCCGAATGAGGCTCCATTTAGTGATTTAACGTGTCCTGTAACAATTCTGGCTCGAGTGCACGCAAGGCGAATATGTTCTCTGAAGAGTAACTTTCTGTCAAAGAAAACCCCTAGCCATCTGGTGTAGTTATTGGGGGAAATTGTCTGTTCATTAAAGGAGATGGAGGGCTCCGAGTACTTGATCTTTTTATGAAAGTATTGAAGCTCCGTCTTGGCTGGGTCAAATGAGATTCCATTGTCGATACCCCATTCCAGGGTGTGGTTGAGAGAATTCTGAAGCTGACTTCCTACCTGCTCAAGGGAGCTTCCAGTCTCCAGGATTGCAATGTCGTCTGCGTACCCAAACTGGCCTTTGGTAAGCTGGAGGAGGGGTTCTACGTAGAGCAGAAAGAGAATTGGTGAGACGGGGGATCTCTGTGGAAGGCCACAGAGAATCTGAAACACCTTTGATTGAACGCCGTCTAGTCGAATCAAAGCTAGTCGTTGATCGAGGAAAGACGCTACCCACTTTATCAGAACTGCCGGCCAGCCCTGTTCCTGTAGACGTCTTAGAAGCCGGCCTCGAAGGACTCCGTCGAAGGCCCCTTTGACATCTAGGGTGATCATGCCGGCCAGAAGGTGTTTGTCCCATGCCCCTTGTACGTCACAGGCTAGTGCAGTGGTGAGGTCTACTGCAGACCTCTGTTGAACAGCACTACACTGATCTTCTGCTAGAATGTGATGATGGAGAGCGAGATGGGACATTTGTCTAGCTATCAGATGCTCCAGCCCTTTGCTGAGGCAGGATAGCAGTGCGATTGGGCGGTAAGACTTTGGTAGAGAGTAATCTCTTTTCCCTGACTTTGGAATAATCACCACCTCAGCCTTCTTGAAGCTCTGGGGGTGGATTCCTTGATCTATACAGTGTTGAAAGAGTAGAACAATTCGATTGCCTATCACTGGCCATGCCTTTTGAAGAACCTTGGCTGTAATGCCATCCAGGCCAGGAGATGTGCTAAGTGTCTGGCAGGTGGCTCTGTAGACTTCCTGCTCTGTAAGGGGCATCCAGGGTATCTCTCTGCATGGGATTGTTGGTGTATGCTCTGGGATATCTTCTGTGTCAAGATGTCTGGCCAGAAGTGTCTCGTGCAGTAGAGAAGATTTGCCAGCACAAGATTGTTCTAGGTGTCCGTCGGGATGTCGTAAAGGAGGAGTGGGGTCTTGAGGTTGGTATTTATGCCATTTGACAATCTTGTAGACATCTGATAAGGAGGAAGCCTCCTCAATTCGCTGGCGATTCCATGCTCTCTTAGCTTTTCTAATTTCCGCCCGGAATGCCACTTGTTCTGATTGACAAGGGCCGTGTCTATGTGCTGCATGATATACTCTTCTGGCTATCTTGACTGCTGGGGTCCACCATGGGGCATGATGACTCTTGGGTCCTGGGGCGAGAGAGCAGGAGCCTTGTAGAGCCAGTTGGAGAGATTTCACGATGTCCGCCGCTTCCTCATTCACGTCCTCATAGACTGGTGAGGAGAAGGGAGTGAGTAGTTGCAAGAAGTGATCAGCATCGCAGGTCGTGAGGCTAAGCTTCTTCTCCTTAATCAATTGAGTCTGAGTCTGTGATAATTGAACTGTTGTGATAAGAGTTTCATGATCTGAGGTGCAGTGCAGTTCAGGAGCAATATGACAGATAGCTGAGTTGGCAGCACAGAAGACAAGGTCAAGTGTGCCTCCTTGTCTATGTGTAGGGGATTCAGCCGGGTTGAGAAGCTGGAGTTCAAGAGAGATTGCCCAGTTATACAGATTCTCTCCTGCTTGAGGATGCCTATCAGTTGTAGAGTCCCATGCTGTGTGTCTAATATTAAAGTCTCCTAATGCCATCCAGGGGATGGTCTCTGTGGTGTGTGTAAGAGAGAGGAGGTCTTGAAGGCCTTGACCTGCATCTGTGGCGCCAGATGGGGTGTTGTATATGTTGTAGATATTAGCCCTTTTGGAGTTAGAGATCTTAACTGAGACACAGATAACATCCCTTGAGATATCTGCTATAGGTTGAGTTGGTGCAAGGGCCCTTCCATTTCTGACATAGAGCAGTACTCTGGGCCTCTTGGTCCAGTTGGAGGAGAGCGGGGTGAAGCATTTGTATGAGGGATGGCTTTTGGAGAGGCGGGTGGAGAGGTCCGTAGCTATCCAGGGTTCCTGAATGGCCACAATGTTGCAGGCTCTTTCATCTGCTAGTGAGAGAGCAATGTCATGGGAGCTTGGCTGTCTTCCTACATTGGCTTGATATACAGTGAGTGTAGATTTGTGAGGAGGGCTGTGACTGCTCTTCATTAGTGGAGGTTCAGACTTGGTGTGATCTTGGTGCCTGTTTGAGAGCAGGTCATTGAGTCTGTCTGGTTGCTCTGGGAGCTAGTGACTGGTGTCAGCAGAGCTGAGAGAGGGGATGAGGTGGAGTCTCTAGAGTTTAGCTCTGGGTTGCTCTTCTCTGCTGAAGTTTGATGAGCTGAGATGAATGCTCTTCTGCCAGCTTCATGTATTGAGTGTAGCTGATGGTGGGAGATGTGTTCTACACATCCAGAGACTATTTTGGGCCTCGCTGGACAGTCAGTGCTGAGAGTGGGATGGGGGCCAAGGCAGTTGCAGCAGCGAGCTGGTGTTTGACATCCGCCTGAGTGTGCGGGACTGCTGCACTTCTCGCAATGTAGGGGTCGCACACAGTTTCTTTCTGTGTGGAAGCCGTGACATCTTGTGCAAATTGGGATCTTTGGCGATTTCTTGATTTTGTTAACCATCACCGGGCGACTGAAAAGGCGGAGTTTGTTTGGAAAGAGATGCGCTCCAGAGGTTCATACTCCAACCCAGGCGTACCCTTCATGCAGATTGGGGTCCATGGACTTCTTTGTCCAGTGACAACGGGTGATTGGAGCCTGGTGGGCGGCGCCTCAAATCTCAGAAAGAAGCATCTCTTCTGACACTGGAATCAGAGTGATATTCTGTCCTTCAAAGCTGTGTGTTGACTTCTTGATTGGACCAACTACAAAGATGGTCCAGGATTCCTGTCACTCAATAAGACAGTCACCTACAGCAGCTTTCAGCTTATCTGCATGTTCAAGAATGGAGGCTGCCTTCGCTGGGGAGGGGGCAGCCACAGTGATTCCCGATGGGCAGTGCCATACATCAGTGATCCAGGTCAGATCAGGGATCATGGCGCGTACTTGTTCATGAATAGCTTGGGGGTCTAGGTCACGAGCAGCGTGTGCTGCAGGTAGCCTAATCATGACTCGTTTGTCTTCCTGTCCTTGGTGCAGGGGGCGGTTGGCCCGCTGTACCTGCTTCTTGTGAGGTTGTCCCGTTGCTGGAACGGCCTGGGGGGGATTGTTTGAGGGGATTGCCTTAGCTGTCGCGGCGGTAGCATACATCAATGTAGGCTTTGATTCGGCGGTGAGGCCTTTAATGGCTTTGGCTATGCCATGTCCCATGGCTTGCCTTAGTACGGCAGTCTGGCGTGGTAGAGAGTTCTCATAAGTGCAGAGTATCAGGTCCAGTACCGCAGATAGCTTATTGCATAGCTCAAGCACTGCAGCTAGCTCTGCAGAGGAGGAGTTGTTGGCATGACTCAGCAGAGCATTGAGCTTATAATTCGCTGTGGAAGAGGAGTTCTTCGCGGTTAGCGGGACTGCTTGAGTGCAGTCAGTCACATTCTCAATGGATTCTCCTCCTGGTGAGAGGGCCGGGCGGGGATTGAAGTCGATATTGATTTGATGTAGTTGAGCTGTGGTGGCTGTTGTAGTGTCCGACGCGTCCTGGGACGTGGTGTTTTGGGGCTGGGGGGGGTCGTCCGGGGGTTTTAGCGGAGCAGAGGAGATTGCGCGGGCTCTCTTCTTTTTAGAGCGAAGAGGAGCCTTGGTGATAGCAATGTTGCTGTTGTTTTGGCTCATCGCGGCGAAACTGAATGCTTTGCATAGTCTATAGTACTTGGACTAAGGACGAGCACAGTTCCATCGGGATCACCTGACATCCCTAACGTAACATAACTGGGGCAATGATCTCCTAAGCGGAGTGCGCGGAAACACGGAAATACCTCCAGAAGAAACTCCGTCGTAGGGGAGAGCAGTCCAGGAGAGTGGACGTGGAAAAAAGGGTGTGAGTGGAAACAACATGGTTTTTCAATGTCAAGGAGCATGGCGCAAAAGATAGGTATTTTAACGTATTTCGCTACCATATGTGAGTAATTAGTCTATTTTAGTGACCAATTAAAGTACATTCAGATTATTCAGCCAACTTGTTTTGACTACTTCAATCATTGAAAATCAGATCAAGTCACTGAGAAGCTACCAGACTGTACTCCGTATGATAGTTATTCTCTTGTTCAATTTGAGTCTGTATAGTCAATTTATACTATTCGTAGTACAGAGCCCGTTGTGCAACACTTAACTAAGGCCAAGCAAGTCGGATGATTAATAAGGTTTATATCACGTGGGTAAGTAGGCCCAAGTAAGTGGAATATCGTTATACCAATTTACAAGCGGGTTCTGACAGGAGACAAAGTAGTTACTGAGAGAGAACCACACAACACAGTTCTTCACCATGTTCCACTGTCCCTATTGACGGAGGAGGCGGTCTCCATGTTCCGCTCTTTCATATGCGTGGAATCTCGTCGAAGGTAAATGACCCCTCTCCCCTACATGAACGTCTCCGCACATTGATTGATACATCCCCTTCTCCTATTTTATATTGCATCGGAAGCCGACAAATGCATTAACATATATTATAAAAACCATTATCTGACTTCATTTCCTAGGACCTGGAAGATACTGGAGATCAATCAGTCCATATTCCCATTTCTGACCCATTGGTGGTCGATCTCTACATATCACAATGATCATGACAAGATCCACTAACATATGGTATCCACCGGCGCATTAAGAAACACCACCAGGGCCCGTTTCGTAGGCACAAGTATTGGCGCCTGTTCGAGTCGTGATTATTCTAGTTCGTGTACAGGGGTGGAGTCAACACTCGAAACATCACACTTCCTATTTTTCCCGTCGCTGATTGTTGGCCTCTGTATTCGGAATGTCTGAGAATTTGCCTACGGAAACTCACAACTCTCCGGAGTTAGCCAAGGCTGCTGTTTCTGAAGAAGGCTCGTTGAAGGACATGTTACAGGCCAACCGAGAGGATGAGACGCAGGCCTACGCTCCTCCAACCATTAACGACGCTGTCACAAATATTGCGAGATCAAAACCCCTTGTATTGGAGCAGCAGATACGGGATTTCGATGATCGATTACTCCAAAAACAGGAGCAATTCAATGCTAATGTGAATTCATTTTCGAAGGAGACCCGAATATCCTCAGTTACAGATTCTCTGGAGGATGGATCACATGATACAACCCGTTTGTCGCGAGATCGGGATGTTTTTACAGAAGGGAGCCACCACAACACCCCAACTGGTTCGATGACTTCAGCGTCTCTTATGTCTCCTTTGCCCCCTATTAAATCTACCGGTTCCGGTGCAGCGTCGAACAATGACTTGAAACCCGGGGATACGCCAAAGAGTCAAACTGCTGAGCCGAATCCAGACTACAGTAAATACAGACCAAGGTCATCGATCCCTGCACGTCTCTCAGCATCCACCTATGCTCAGCAATGTATCGCTGCAGCTCATGCCTCGCGTCTCAATCCATACGCGCTGCACCAAGGCGAACAGAACTTGTTGCAGGATGATCTTTGCCACCTTCACGTTACTGTATATCTTAACATTCGCAACGGAATCCTTCGACTGTGGACAAGAAATCCAATGGTTAGCGTTACAAGAGAAGAAGCGCTTGGTTGTGCCAAGGACATTAGGTGGATGAATCTTGCCTCTGTTGCGTACGACTGGCTCATTCGCAATGGGTATATTAATTTTGGGTGTGTCGATATTCCAAAATCCATAAACGCCCCCAAGAGAGGCCGGAGGAAGGATGGACCAACCATAGTCATAGTAGGAGCGGGTATGGCAGGTTTGGGTTGCGCCAGACAACTTCAAGGACTGTTTCAGCAATACCCGGATGTTACTACTTCGCCAAAAGTGATTTTATTGGAAGGCCGTAAAAGGATAGGCGGACGCATATACTCACACCCTCTCACATCCCTACAGTCAAATACATTGCCAAAGGGTCTACGATCCACGGCAGAAATGGGAGCTCAGATTGTTGTGGGTTTCGACCATGGAAATCCGCTGGATCCGATTATCCGTGCGCAGCTTGCTCTTCGATACCATCTACTACGGGATATCTCAACTATTTACGACGTTGATGGTACGCCCGTTGACGAGTTAAGGGATGCAATGGTTGAGAAGCTTTATAATGATATTCTCGACCGCTCCGGAGCTTACCGTCATAAGGCAGTTATTGCCCCTGCAGCAGAAGGTGATAGGGAGCTTATAGATTTGGGTCGTGACTCATCGGCAGATGATGGACTCACCGTTAGGCAATACGAAGAGGCTACGGCTTCGGGCACAATCGGATTGCTGCTTCCCACCAAACGTGTTGGAAGGGGTGTTAGCCACAAGACAGCAAATGTTAAAACTTCCTCCGGTGTTCTGCTATCAGATCTTGGGGCAACCAATAACCACTCAGCGGCTGTCGCATGTCAGGCAATGGGATGGAAGTTAAGAAATGGCGTTACGAGCCATGATTCCATATATTTAAATGGGATTGCAACAAAGACAAAAACCCAATCGTTGGGCGCAGTCATGGACGATGGCATAAGGCAATACCAAAAGCTCTTGCCGCTGACACCCAGGGATATGAGGTTGTTAAATTGGCATTTCGCTAATCTCGAATATGCTAATGCCGCCAACGTTGGCAAGCTCAGCTTGTCAGGTTGGGATCAGGATATGGGTAGTGAGTTTGAAGGCGAACATGCACAGGTTGTTGGGGGCTACCAACAGGTTCCGAGGGGGCTTTGGAATTTGCCGGATAAGCTTGATGTTCGAACCAATAAGTGCGTGACGAAGATAACATACGATCCGCGAGGAGCCTCGAGTCATAAAACCGCCGTCCATTGCGAGGATGGTGAAATCATCCACCCAGATAGAATTGTCTTCACCGCTCCCCTGGGCGTTCTCAAAAAGGAGTCTATCAAATTTGAGCCACCTCTTCCCCAATGGAAAACCGGTGCTGTTAACAGACTTGGTTTTGGGACCATGAACAAGGTTATACTCGTGTTTGAAAAGCCGTTTTGGGACGTAGAGAGGGATATGTTTGGTCTCCTTCGAGAACCAACGGTACAAAACAGCTTGTCCCAAGCGGATTACAGCCGAAATCGTGGCAGATTTTATTTGTTCTGGAACTGCATCAAAACCACTGGATTACCAGTGCTGATCGCGCTAATGGCTGGCGATGCCGCACACCAAGCTGAAGCGATGACCGACACTGAAATTCTGGGTGAAGTCACATCACAACTTCGTAATATTTTCAAGGAGGTTGCTGTACCAGATCCCTTGGAGACTATTATCACACGCTGGGGCAAGGATAAGTTCGCCAACGGCAGCTATTCCTACGTTGGCACCGAAGCACTGCCTGGCGATTATGACCTTATGGCCAAGCCAATTGGAAATCTATACTTCGCTGGTGAGGCTACATGCGGTACTCATCCGGCCACCGTGCATGGAGCATATCTCTCCGGGCTACGTGCAGCATCCGAAATACTTGAATCCATCATCGGACCCATCACTTTTCCCAAGCCGCTGGTTCTCACCAAATGCAAAAAAACAACCAACGCTCCCCTCACAGCCATGGACAGCACCTCTATCAACGGCAGCACAGTCAACGGACGAAAACGAAAAGCATTACTTTCAGAATCCCCAGCAGAAAAACCAGCCGCTGCCCCCCGATCAAACACTTCTTTACTATCCGCATCCTCCGTTCGCGAAGCTTACGACAAAGCAATGTGGAACGCAATCATCAACGAACTCGGCCCGGCTGAACCACGACCAGCCAAGAAGCCTCTGAATCCATTCTTGCTCTACCAGAAGGACTATTGGCACATTTGCAAAACGAAATGCAACGAGGCGCGACGCGCAAGCACAGGAAATGCCAACGCCAAAGCCCCCAGGGAGGAGATCCGCCAGGCACTGGGCCAGATGTGGCGTGATGCTCCTGAAGATATCCGACAACCATACATTGACCAGATTTGTGAACATCGTCGTGAAAATGATGAGTCTTTGGAGAAATGGAAGGAGAGGATTGTGGAGTGGGAGCGAAGGACGTACGAGGTTAAGGATCGCTGGTGCGCGGCGAATCCGTTTGATGCGTTCGAGGTTCAAGCCACCAAGAAGCATTTGGAAGGGATTAGTGGCCAGGACGAGAATGGAGATGAAGACATATTTAAAGCGGGCAGGAAGACAAGGCAGATTCATTGAGTGCCATAACGAAAAGTTTCCCGGATGGGTAGTTTGAATCGGTCAGCTCTGGAGAGTTGCGTTCCTTTCTTGCAAATACGGGTTTATTTTAGTTTCTCTAGATACGTTTTGCGAGTCTTCGCTTGCAGGTGTGGTTTTAAAAGTTGATTTGCATGGGTTAGGGAAACCCAATAGGTCAAGGTGTCCATTGGGCGGTGCGTGAATGGGAGAGTCTGGTGCATTATGTCTTCAGTCATTTCTATTTTTCAAAAGGGGGAAATCCCTTCCATATCCTACCTCGGGAGGATTGAACGGAGTGAGCTTAGAGGATCTCTTTTTTAATTTCCTTCTATAATGCACAGAGTCCTCTTCCCCATCTTCCTTCTAGCTTTTCTTCGCTGCCTGTTTAAAATCTGTACGTTTGTACTCTTATGTATTTTATGTGTACCTCTCTCTATTTTCACTTCTGCAGCACATATTGTGAAGCAAGTAATGAAATTATCATGCAATCGAAAAACTCTGAAAACATTCTCCAGATTTCGGCATGGTATGGTCCGAAATGTTTGACTTGGCCTTACGCCGCTCAAGATAGATTGTTGAGATCCATTCGACAGTAATAATACGGGTATTTTCCTGGCCCAATGATTTAACCAGAACCAAATCTTATCCATTCATCCAATACGCAAAGGAGGGGGGGAGGGGAAGATAGTTGTATAATATCTAAAACGGAAATGCCCTAGAATCAAGAATAATTGTTTCCTTTCCTTCTTTCCCTCTCCTGAACTCGAAACTTAAATCCAACAATCTCCCTGACATTGTTATTTTACAGTAGGGGATTGGATGTATACTCCAATGTCGGAGGAGCATTCTCCCCTTGGTTAGATTGTTCGATGGATGTGGCAACGAGAGGAGGCTCATCTCCCCCTTCCGACTCTGCAATGTACTTTTCAGCTTCGAGCGCAGCGATGCAACCAGATCCTGCAAGTCACGTAGTTCGTTAATCAATCCGTCAAACAAGAAAATCCCAAAATACAAACGAGACATGAAAATAGATACGCACCGGCACTTGTAATAGCTTGCCTATATCTCCTATCCTGCACATCGCCAGCAGCAAACACGCCAGGAACACTCGTATAGCTCGTCCCTGGCTTCGTAACAATATAGCCTTCCGCATCTGTCTCGATCTGTCCCTTCACCAACGCTGTCGCAGGATCATGTCCCACCGCATAGAAGAGGCCATTGGCTGGTACAACTTCCTCACCTCCGGACACCACATTCTTAATCTTCAAATGTGTCATGAGCCCCCTTGGCGCGGGCTCCCCTTGCACCTCCACCGCAACCGTATTGAACTTCACCTCAACCTTAGGATTGGCCAACAGCCTCTTCGCCATCGTCTTGCTCGCGCGCAGTTTATCCCGTCTCACCAACACCGTCACCTTGCTACCATACTTTGTAAGAAACATGGCCTCCTCTGCCGCCGAATCTCCGCCGCCAATCACAAACAACGGCTTGTTCCGAAAAATAGGCACGGCTCCGTCACAAACCGCACATGCACTGATGCCATTCTGCCAATACTGCTGTTCACCGGGCAAATCGAGACGGCGCGCATTGGCACCCGTGGCTATAATTAGCGCATCTGCCGTGTGCGCAGGCGCGTCGTCGGGGCCATCGGAGAATTCTTTCCAGAGCTTGAAGGGGCGGCAGGAGAGGTCGACGCGAGAGACGGTTTCAGAGATGATCTCTGTGCCAAAACGGACGGATTGGGCGCGCATGTTATCCATGAGTTCGGAGCCGCCAATGCCATTTGGAAAGCCGGGGAAATTCTCGATATCTGTCGTGGTGGTGAGTTGGCCGCCTGCGGCAGTGCCGTTGGCCATCATTCCTTCATAGAGCACGGGCTTCAATTCAGCGCGGGAGAGATAAATGGCCGCTGTGTGCGCAGCGGGCCCGGAGCCAATAACTATACATATATTATTATTATTATTTTTTCGCATTTTAGTTAGGTAAAAGTGATATTTAAGGGAGATCACTCGGTGACATTCGATAAAATAAAGGTAAAGGAGGCAGGCAAAACCTCAGAATAATTGAATTACTCACCAACGACTTTTGAGTGCTTCATCCTGGAGGAGATATGGGATGCCTTGACGCTGAGGGGCGTCGCGGGGTAAAAGGTGACAGCAGTGCTGGTGGTGGGGGAGGGCCTATTCTGGAACGAAGCCGCAGCAGCAACAGAGAGGCCGACGCTAGATCGGAGAGAGGAGAGAGGAGCGCGACGAAAGATTGAGGAAAACAGCTTGACGATTATCTTGCGAACCTTGGACGAGCTATGCTTTTATGGTTGGTTGTTTTTGCAGACAGACAGATCCTTGATGGAAGGTTGACGGTTGGTAGTTATTTCGAACAAAAGAATTAATTACAGCGAAAGCAGAGTCTCTGCCTTGGCCTGGAATGTTGGATGCTTTCGAGAAAAGAGCTGTTCGGGGTCAATTGCCGATGCAATGGACCCAGACACCCGACAGAGAGAGAGAGAGAGGTGCACCACTGCAGAGAGGAATAGCTGAAGAGAATCCAAGTATGATGGGGAATAAAATGGGTCGACGTTTCAACAGATGTTGCTTAAGAGGCAGAAAAACTCTGGGGCACAAAAATGGATTCAGCAGGTTAAAGGAACAACATTTATCTTCCCACATAGGATTAATACTATATATTGACACATGTTTATGTTTTAATCGCATATCAGTGATTTGGTTATTTGACACACACACACAACTATACCAAGAACAATGAGTGACGGAATGGAACAACCGGTTAGTTACATGAACCTGTCTTACTTGCATAGCTATTCAAATCCTACCTGAAAAAGAGCAGACATTACAGAACATAGTTGTATCATAGTTAGGGTATCCAGCCAGTTACATAAAAGCACAAAGGTAGTCAGAAAAAGCAAGCAGACAATGCAATCATGTCAAAAAAAGCCCAACATGACAACAAATAGTTTCGCAAAAAGACATCGAAGAAACAGGACGAACGAGATTCCTATGGATGGCATGCTTAAATGATCCCAAGCCACTTCCTCTTCGGTTTATACGCGTCCACCCCACCGTATCCGTGTCCATGCCCCTGAGGCGGAGGGGCTGGCAGCGGAGGCAAGCCAACATCATCATCGTACTCGTCGTATTCATCATCCCCTGGACTTCGTGCAACCTCCCCGTCGTCATATCGCCCTTTAAACGTGCCTCCAGCCTGAGTGTGTTCGACTCCTCGTTCCATTTCGTGTTCATGCCCTAGGCCCATCTCGGATGATGACTGGACCGCTTCCTCCTGCGGCTGCTGCTGCTGCTGCTGCTGCTGCTTCCTCCCAGCTCCAATCTTCCACCAACGATTCTTCTCCCGCGGTTCGCTCCGCTCAAAGACACCATCAAACCATAATGCAGGCACGAGGATTCTGTATGGATTCGTAATCCCCGATGGGTCCTGCGGGTTCGTTTCGCAATTCAAGGTGATATCAAGTCCTCCGTCGAGATTGATGAAGTTTTGTAGGGCCAGGGATCCTGCTTTTGCTTCCCGCCTTATTTCTTTGGCACTTAGATCGGTGCGGCGGCGGAGGACATTACCTCCTGGGCTGGGTGGTAGCGACGGATCGTTGGCTGGTGGTTGGTTTCCAGCGGTCACCGGTCTTTGCGGTTGGGGTGGGAAGTAGTTGTCTGGTGCGTGTGGAGTGGGCGTGGGCGTGGGCAGCCCATCGTAACTCATGCGGCGTTTTTCCGATAGACGCAGCGAAATGCTTCTAGTGGGTGGTTTTGGGCCACTCTGAGAAAACCTTCGCAGCAGGTTTGTGGGTCTGCCATCGCCCCTAGACGTTGATAAGGATCTCATCAGTTTTCTTGTGGGATGTTGTGCTGGACTGGGTGGATCCGAATCCGTGGGCGTCGGAGGCGGAGTTGAGCCTGGAACATCTTGCTTAGCACATGAAGGATTAACTACAATGTAGCTTTTTGTTCGGGGACTCACCAGGAGCATATTCCACAATAGAACACCAGTTCCGTCTAGGAAGAAGACGTTTGTTATTTCGTGGCTTCCCGTCAACGTCATGAGTAAAAATCGCGCGCATGTCCTCGACAGTTTTCGTATCAAAGAAATGAAGCTTATTCCGTTTGTCGAGCGCATCTGCCATCATTTCTGACGCAGGGATATTGACGATTGATGATGATATCACATTAGGCATGTATCTGTAGTCATTATCTTTGGCGATCTGTAACTTTGGGTTAGAGTAGAACTGTCCGATTGCTGCAACCCGGGCATCGCCTCTGTGATGGATCGTTAGCCTGGCATATGTAGCATCAAGTTTGATGGACATATCAGCATACCCTAGTATAGTTATTCTGACAGATTTCTCTGCAGCGAGTTCCTGCAGGTCTTCGATGAGCCAGTGGCGCTCGAGCTTATGTGCTTTAGAGGCCCATTGGCTATCAATCGTTTCCATGTTCACATCAAACTTTTCTCTCAAATTTCCAAACAAGCCAGCCCGCCCAAGGGCTTTTACAGGATAGCTTGCCCGGCTGCTCAGAACGTTTTCAAGCCACACCTAGAAGTTTGTTAGCAGTAGCCCAATTATTTCCAAAGGCTTGTTCAAAAGAATCTACATACAAATCTTGGATAAGCAATAGGCACGCTTAAAAGCACAATCAAATGCTTTGTTTCCCCCTTGACAATTTCGTCATGACAACGGTTGAAGATCAGGTCAGACGAATCATCGTTAAGTACGTCGTCTCTCTATATATATCGATATCAGCAAGAAATAGGAGGTGTAAATTGGCGATGTTAGCAGCAACAGTGTGGGAAGGGTTTTATCTCCTACCGTTCGCTCAGTTTGACAATCAACTGCCAAAAATGCTACACGTTTGCCCATTTTCATAAAAACACTCCTACTCCGTTGACTGATATAGGGACCACGATTAGCTCCGAGTAACCAGCTTGGTTCATCCAAGTCCGTCTCTTCGGGAACGCTCTGATGCTGAAAGAGCATATAATATTTGAACGCCAGATTACCAATCCCAGACATTACCGGCGTTCTCATGAGTTGGTGCAGATACGAGCCATAGCCGGGAATAATATCATGGTCATTCCACATGTTAACCATGGGAATTTGAGAATTGGCCATGCTGAACAGGCCATGGGAGAACCATTTCAGGTACTGCTGGAGATAGAAATTCTCCAACTCGGATTTAATGTCTAGGTTGAAGGGATGATGTCGCTCTTGATAGGGGATTCTCAGCTCCATCCAGCTCCGGAAATGCTCCGTGTCGAAAATGGCTGTGTCGTTGAATATCTGGTCCCCTCCTCCCACCATAACATGGAACGGGCGCGTTTGGTGAGTGTTCAGAACATCCCGCCATAGAGGATCAGGGCCGCTGAACTTGTCACGATCGGCAGATCCATTGAACCCGTTCCCACTGTGGAACATAATGTTCATCGACTGGCCCCTGGCGGGGACCCAGAAACCAATCGCAGAACCCTGGTTGATTCGATAGGCAATTCTCTGTTGTCTATCGCCCAACTCAATCTCAAGACTGAATCGCCAAAAAGTTACGTCCCTTGCTGAATCCGTGTAGAGGCGTACTCCTTTAACTTCTCTGAATTTACCGACAGATTCCCCGTCTTTCTCTCTAATGCGAGTCGTCAGTGGAGAAACTTGGTTGCTTGCGCTGTACTCTAGAGGGCTGGGAGAAGTTTCGAAGAGCCCGTCGTCATTGTCGATAAAGGAGAGGTCCCTGCCTTCCTCAAGGTGATCGACGGGCTTGACATAGAGTAACTTGCCGTTTCGTCCAAGCTTGGTGAGGCCAGAGATTGGATCCACATACTCCGGGGCAAGTTCGCCGGTCTCGTTGTTGATTTCAGTTGGTGGGGGTGGAAGTAGATCCATTGGCTGGGAGAACAAGCGGAGTGTTGGAGGTTCCTGATAAGACGACGCGGAATCCTTGGTGACTATCATAATGCTTCCTCTCCATATTGCTTGCTCAATAGGCCCATGCAGCCCATCCTTCTGTTCCCATTTCATACCTGTATATCTGAGGAGAGGCCCACATTCGAGATACAATGGCGGATTGAATGGTGTATTATCTAAAAATGAAAAGCATGATTAGCCTTCCTAGAAGCCACTTAAAATGCTGTGGTGGAAATAGTTATCCGCAACATGCCATACACACTATGCGATGGAAACAAGAGAGCATTCAGAACTTACTTTTGGGTTTCGTTTTCGATGGCGGATGTTGCTCATAAGCAACTACATTGCTCTTACTTTTCCTTGCCGATCCACCACCTTCCCACCACGCTTTTTCAAGCTCGGCGTCTCGAAGTTCGCGAAGGTCAAAGTCAGCTGAACACAATCTCCCTATAACCGCAGTTTTCCACTCTGACAGAGGGGGTGGTGTTGGAGGAGGTACAGCAAAGGATACACTGTGTTGTTTTGCCTTACCATTTCTGGTCTGCTGCGGAGTTCCAGACATGGTGGCTTGAGGAGGTGTAGTATTGCTCAGTCCAAGTCCCACGGGTAGATTTTCCAGTGTATTCTTGTTGGTTGACGCATTGTTACGATTAGTAGGTGGTCGAGCATCGTAGGCCACCGAATCTGACGAGACGTGAGGTGGGAATGTTCTCTGTCTCTCGCGATGGTCTGCCAGAAATTGAGAGTTAAGAATCTTTGGTAATGGCTTTTGTAGCTTCCGGCTGTTGGAGCATTGTACATCTTCTAAGATGGCAGGTCCACCAAGCTCTTTATTTTGTGCATGGGGGTTCGAATCTCCCGGCTCATCGGGGATGCGATTGTACGGCGCGTGAACTTTCTGTAAGGTTGCCGCATCGTTCGTTCTTTGATCAGCGGTCTGTGTTGTTGTGTCGTCACTGAGTTCCCAACCCCGTTGCCGCCCCATGTCTCTTGGGACATCAATTTGTTCACTCAGAACTGGCTCCTCCTCCTGGGCTCGTGGATGTCCAATCTCGTTAGGTATTTGCTCTTCGTACTTGAAATCCCCCGGGCCATCTTTCGAGAAACGTTTGGCATCAGCCTCTGTTGATTCTATGACGGCACTATGCCGCAATCTATCACGTTGCTTGTTACTCAGACTCCGGACCAAACCTGCTTCTTCGAGAAGACTTGAGGGTTCTGCACCACTTTTCGGTCCGCGAGTTGTGCTAGGCTGCGACGTCGGGGTGATATCACGGCTCATCTGACGACTTCGACGGCCGGCTTTTGCTTCTCTCAAGAGCATCTCAGCTTCTTCCACCCTGGCACGTTTCTCTTCCTTGCTGATATCTTTCAGGGTGAATTCTAGCTTTTGTAGAGGAGACTTTTCCGGAGCCCAATCACGTCGTGGTTTGGAAAGCTTTTTTTGGCTTTCCGAAACTCTTCTTGCGCCAGGTGACACTGGCGAATCAGATTGGGGTGGTGGGACGGGATCAAGAGGAGGTAGGCTTGCCCGATTGGGGTTTCTCGGCTTGCGGATAGTCACATTTTGCATGTCTATCTGGGGAGATAACCTGTTCGAAGACCCGACTTCATGCAGCTGCCTTTGGGAGTCCACCCAGGGGACACTATTTGCAGGAGAAAGTCTATCTAACCCATCCAGAGCCGTTTCCGCCGGTAATTCTCTGGCCCGCACAGAGAAAGGCTTCGGCTCGTCCCCAAACCGACGCGACAGCCCTACGCCATACGGGAGTTTGTAGGAAGCGATGGGCCCACGGGGAGCCTCTGAGGCCGCAGGAAGGACAGTAAAGTTGTTGGAATAGCTGAGGGAGGTAGCCCGTTTGGCGGAGTGTCGTCTACCTGTAAATGGAGCATTGTTCTCCACACCGTTGATGGGCTGCTGCTGGTTGGAATAAGTTTGCTTTGACACTGGCACCGACTGCCTGCGGGAGGATGAAATCGTCGCCATGTCAGTCTACTCAAACCCCCACCAGAGCATTCAACTCAGTGCAAACTTGAAGAACGCATCCAATTGGTCTGTGCACTAAGCCTGAGTAGAATGTGTTCAGAATGTATCTAGCACTGGGGCTAATGCAGTTATGAGGGAAAGCCGCAACTGTACATTTCTCTAAGAGGTTGCACAATATATGTCCGCTATAACCCGACAGAGCACCTAGGGTACTTAGAGTAGGGAGGAGGATCGAGGAGTAGACATGAGAAGCATATTCAGGCGACGATCAACGAGGGGAAAATTTATCAGCAACATTAAAAGAAGAAGAAGAAGAAGAAGAGAAGAAAAGGAAAGAATAAAAAAAGAAGAAGAAGAAGAAGAAGAAGAAGAAGAAGAAGAAGAAGAAGAAGAAGAAGAAGAAGAAGAAGAAGAAGAAGAAGTGTAGCTTCGTAGGAGGCTGGGTGGTGGTGAATCAGCAGAGTAGAAGCAACGCAATCAGTTTCCTATGACGGAAGCGTTGGCTGGTGGAACTGACCAGTTGGCGGCAGACAATTCGCTCCAGCCAGTCAGTAAAGCTGAAATGTGAATGCTGATTCACTGCGCCCAGCACGACAGACGAGTATCGATACAAAGCAGAAGCCAGAATGACAGGGGGAAAGAATGGAAGCGAAGTAGATAGCTCCGGAAGAGAAGAAGAGAGATGAAAATCTTTTAAAAGGCTGCGGGGATTGTCAGTCCGTCCGGAGACCCAGGCAAGTTAAGAGCTATAGTTATGGGCAGAGCTGGCAAAAGGGGGAGATATTTAAGAAAATCAATAATCTCTTTCGCCCAGCCATTTGCATTTACTTATTTTTTTATTTTTTATTTTTTATTTTTTTTTGGCTTGCGTGCAGCAGCACACACAGGGACCTCTCTGGGGTGGCTGGCAAGGCCAATGACGCCGTGGCATCAGCAGCAAAACCCTCCAATGGAGGAGTCCTTACAGGAATCCCCCGGAAGTCGGTTGCATGACATCCATCGTAGGCGAAATAACTAATAACTAGTCGCCGCACTCTCTTCCCGAGTGTCTATACCATCTGAAAGCGTCTCGTTGATCTTGATATATCTGCTTCAACAAAATCTCCAAGCTTTCGGATATTGGACGCCCTACGACGCTCGACCGGTTATGGGGTGACTAACAATGGCTTACATGGCCCTCAGAGATCTCTGGTCAATCTCAAAAGAGATAGACGCACGATTCAACAGCATCAACCAAGTAGTTGTAGATAACCTCACTCATCGATGAGCAGCAGACTCTCGTGCATTGATGACAATATGGGCTCTGCAAAGTCAAACGCCCCAGTAAGATCTTGACCAAAAAACATCATGACGTCAACATTATGTGTGATGATGGGTTTGGGCGGGCTCTCTATTAACTAATATGGGAGGGTTGAAGCAATATGAGGAAGAATATCGATGATAGGGGCATCTTAGCCTGGGATTATTTTAATGTCCATAGGGGCTATTAGATTCCAAGGGACAAATAGCTACAAACCCAACTCCCATTCCTTGATCTATCACAGATCTTGATGTCCGGATTGACTTCACAGCTGGTACCATGGTTGTGCGGTTGTGGGTTGCACAACAAGCATATGGTTATATATCCTCAGGGAAGAACATCTGTGAAAGTTGCTCAGGCAAGCTCTAACTGTTGAATGCTGAATGAAGCGGTAGTTAGCACACCGATGCGGGATCCCCGTATAACTGGGCATCTCTCGTAGCCCGGCAATTTTCTTAGACACTCTGTTCCACACTGTGAGGCGCTCACCACGGTCTGCACGGTCTGTTTGATATGTAATGATATTTCCAGGTCTAAATACTGTGAGAAAGAAAACCAAAATAATAAAATAATAATAATAATAATAATAATAATAATAATAAAGAAAAGGGGAAGAAGACTGCTGAGAGAGAAAAGCAATGAAGAGAGATTACTGCATATGATTGGCGAAGATTTAAAATGCCTCAGATTTTGACAACTTGGCCCCAAATGGCTCTAGAGGAATCATACCCTAATAACCCCCCAAAACGCCACAGCCCCGGCCTGAAATATGTGTTTTCCGGGGTTGGGTCTCCGTGCAAACAAACCTCTACTTTTTCCTCAAACTTTCTTCTTGTTCTCGTTCCTTTCGCTCTAGTCGGCTTATCCTAAATAACACCGCTCACCCGCTACGACCTCGAGCTTCATGACAAACAGGTCTTTGGCGACTCTGAGAAATCAGTCGTGACTCTTTCTCATCATCGCTGCGGAATGCCCGACAGGTCAGGTACGTAGCCCGGTGGATCATCCACCTTTTGTTTCATTATCCTCGGACAACGCTCGTTCCGCCGTCTTCCTGGCACCATATACATAACAGGTCGTTAAGCATTGTCTCAGACGTCTGGAATCGGATATGCAATAGTGGTTCATGGCAAACAACATCTCGTGTCCGTTTTATCTTCTCGACGACAGGTGGTTGGCCGGTGTTGCCTAACATCATATCTCCTCCATCTCATAACTCGAAAACGACTGCAAGAACAGAGGCAACATGAAACTACTGAGGGTCGCGGTGGCTGTAGCCTTAGTTTTGGTCAACCCAGCACGCGCATCCATATACCCCCGGAACCACGATGCCTACGATTACTTCGCTGTCCGTCTCGATTCCTCCGTATCTCCCGTTCAGGTTGCACAGATGTTAGGAGTACATTATGCAGGACAAGTCGGTGAATTGGCAGACCACCATACATTTGCCATATCAAAGGAGCTAGGGGTAGATGTTGATCGAAGACTCGAGGATCTGAGGCAGAGGAGGCGAAGGAGGCGGAGTTTGCCGAACGTCGAAGAGCTGGCCATGAGGGATGCGCTAGACGGCATCCTCTGGTCGCAGAAGCTGACCCTGAGACCACCCATGAGCAAACGAGCGCCTCCACCTCCCCCACCGCCCCGAGGAGCGGAGGTACGCCATTCGAAGCCGCAGGACGACCAGCACAGCGACTATAACGCTACGGAAAAATTGACGGAGATTGTATCCAAGTTGGAAATCGACGATCCGATATTCACACAACAGTGGCACCTGTTTAACACCGAACAACCAGGTCATGACATCAATGTCACTGGTCTGTGGTTGGAGGGCATAACTGGAAAGGGGGCAATTTCTGCCATTGTGGATGATGGATTGGACATGTACAGCAATGATCTTAAAGATAACTACTTTGCAGCAGGGTCTTATGATTACAACGACAAAGTGGACGAGCCCAGACCCCGATTATATGACGATAAGCATGGGACTCGATGCGCCGGAGAAGTCGCTGGTGTCCGCAACGATGTTTGCGGCGTCGGCGTCGCCTACGACAGCAGCGTTGCTGGAATACGTATCCTGTCCAAACCCGTGTCGGACGAGGATGAGGCCGCTTCGATCAACTACAGATTCCAAGATAATATGATCTACTCCTGTTCTTGGGGGCCTGTAGACGATGGCACCACCATGGATGCGCCTGGTATTCTCGTCCAACGGGCTATTGTCAATGGAATACAAAAGGGACGAGGTGGGAGAGGCTCCGTGTATGTGTTCGCCGCCGGCAACGGTGCTCTACATGAAGATAACTGCAACTTTGATGGCTACACGAACAGCATTTACAGTGTCACTGTGGGTGCAATTGATCACAATGACGATCACCCATATTATTCTGAGCCGTGCTCTGCGCAACTCGTGGTGACGTATAGCAGCGGAGGGCGGGATGCTATACACACCACCGACGTTGGTTTGAATTCTTGCACTACGAAACATGGTGGAACGTCTGCGGCTGGACCGTTGGTCGTTGGGGTTGTGGCACTTGCGCTGAGCGTCCGCCCTGAGCTGACCTGGCGTGACGTGCAATATATTCTATTGGAGACGGCGATCCCCATCAATTTAAATGAAAGCGATTGGCAGGATACTGCTACTGGGAAGAAATTCAGCCACGAGTACGGATACGGGAAAGTAGACGCGTATTCAGCTGTCCATCTAGCCATGACGTGGAAACTGGTCAAACCACAAGCTTGGCTACACTCCCCGTGGTTGCAAGTTTATGCCGATATCCCGCAGGGAGACAAGGGACTTGCTAGCAGCTTTGAAGTCACTAAGGAGCTGTTGATGAGGAATAACGTTGAGCGACTTGAACATGTTACGCTTACGATGAATATCAACCACACGCGCCGTGGTGATTTAAGTGTGGAACTCCGCAGTCCCACTGGAACCGTCAGCTATCTAAGTACGACAAGGAAATTGGATGATCTCCGCGCTGGCTACGTTGATTGGACTTTTATGTCGCTCGTTCATTGGTAAGTGCCAACAAAGCCCCGCGCCCCCCTTGCTGCTATCCAACCCCAAACCGGAAGCATTGAACATGAAAATCTAACACCAGTCAACAAAACACAGGGGTGAATCCGGCATCGGCAAATGGACCGTCATCGTCAAGGACACAGTCGTCAATGATTTCAAGGGTGTGTTCATCGACTGGCAACTCAACCTGTGGGGCGAAGCCATCAACGCAGATATCCAAGGCCTCCATCCTCTACCAGACGAACATGACCACGATCACAGCACCCAACTTGCACCCGTAGCCACCACAACGATTATCTCCAGTGCAACCGCTTCGAAGCCCACCGCCTCCGTCGTCCCAACAGACCACATCGATCGCCCCGTCAACACCAAACCCACTGGAACACAAAGCCCTTCTCAACCATCAGAAACAGCAACATCATCACCATCATCACAACCAATACCCACTTCAACATCCGAGAGTTTCCTCCCATCCTTCTTCCCCACCTTCGGCGTCTCCAGGCGCACGCAGGTCTGGATCTACGGCTTCCTCACGCTTATTCTCATCTTCTGCTCCACGCTGGGTACATACTTCCTCATCCAGCGGCGGAAGCGCATCCGCAACAATCTACACGATGACTACGAGTTTGAGATGATTGACGATGAGAGCGACGAAACGCATCCGCTTAGTGCGGGCGAGCATGTTGCTGGCGCCAGAACTGGGCGGAAGCAGCGAAGAAAGGGTGGAGAGTTGTATGATGCGTTTGCGGGGGAGAGTGATGAGGAGCTACTGAGCGATGGGGAGAGTGAGAGTGGTTTGGGTGAGGAGCCATATCGAGATGAAGATGAGAGACAGGATGATGGTGGTGGTGGTGGTGGTGGTGGGAGGGGGAGTGAGAGGACCTAGGTTGGTGTTTTTATTGATGACTTTTTGAACAGATTTGTTTTCTTTCCCCTCCCCGCATTTCTTCGTCGGCCGCCTTTGCTCTTGTTTGATTATACGTATCTCTTGACGTCCCGTAATATCTACGTAGACTATTTTTTCTCTTTATGGAACTCCGCTTTTTACCATACATACTTCACGGAGGGCGCAGAGTGCGTGCACTCTTATGCCGCGGAATTATTACCCTTTGGCTGTTTCTCATAACACTATTTATATCCATGTTTTCATTGTGCGTTAGAGGAGTTGTCGTTATTTTGCGACTTCTTAATGTTTCAATCTGCTTGTCTGTCCCATACCTTTCCTAATGGTTAAAAAAATAGATATGCAGCTGAGCCCGAGAATGGTTGTTCATTAGCCGAAGAGTTCTGTATTATTTCCAAAAGCCCCAACCGATCACCCTTAGCCTATTCTCTCACACAACTCCTATTTCTGTATCATCCAAGGGACGTGGGAGTCACTGCCCAGTCCAGGGATGTCAGGCGAACCGCCAAACTTGGAGGGAACTTGTACACCCACTACGGGTTAAGATTTACTTAGAAGATCAACGCGTATGATGTCATTCAGCAGTAAAACCAGCTGGAATACGAAAGCCTGTTGATTTCCAGCCACCTTCAATATTCAGTTAGACTTTTCTGATATCAACGGGCCGTTTGCACCCCTGCATATATCCCAATTGCCTGCCCCCCCCCCGGCAACAAGCGAAACCCATCAAATGCACATACCCCATACACATACACATACACATACACGTACATAATAAAACATTTGCACCCATCCTATTATCAGAGCATCATGCCCCCCTACCCATCCTCCTCAAGGTCAGCAGCTGCCTCTGCTCCAAAACCCCCCTTCCCTTCCGCCTAACACGCTGCCACTGCATCCCCTGCCGCAAAGTCTCTCCGGCGGCCCCTCTGCCAACGTGGACCGATCTTCCCCCACGAGGGCAATAACATGGACTCCCGGCCAGTCTTCGGGCAGCGGCAATGCTAGCGATAAGCCCTCTATATAAGACGCTCCAGCGAACTCGCCATACGCGGGTTCTGCGCGTCGTGTGGCTCGACGGTATGCACATGCAATATGACATGCAGCCGCAGATTTGAGGTGCGTGGGGCTGATGATGAGAGCTCTACGAGTGAGACGCGGGTGGTGGGGGTGGGTGGGGGGTGACAGGAATATCGGAAGCGGGGGGGGGAGGAGGGTTGTTGGACGGGTTGTCGAAGAAGCATATCCTGCTGAAGGAGAAGACGGGGTGGTTTGAGATTGGAGGGGATGGGGAGGTGGGGGGGGGAGAGGTTAGCAGGGAGGGGTTTTCGCCCGAGTGGGAGAGGAGGGAAGACAGTGGGGAGCGGGCTTCACGTAAGGGACGGCAGGATGGCATGTATGGACGGATTTTCACCTTTGGGAACTAGCCAGTTTCTTTTGTTTTGGCTCTCTTTCTTTTCTAATGGTTAACCTGGTTAGGTATTAGAAAGCTCTAGGTATTAGAGAGCAGTGTGTGGTTCGTTTTCTGGTCAAGCCATCTCGCTTGGGATGAAGGCGTGTGGGATGCTGCCCAAAATGAGGGAAATGCAGGAACTGCAGCCAATAATGGGCATATGCTAAAACAAAACCGAGCGAGCCATCTTAGACGCTGTGAGAGGCTTGGTAGCGATCGCCATGGTACGTATTCACCTAGCTAGCTCGCAATACATTTATTCTGTGCATCCCCTCATAATCAGGAGAGCCTTTAAATCCTTAGCCTTCCGACTCAGGGAGATGTCATCAGGGATTTAACGGCTCGTATAAATATCTCACCACCGTGCCCTGATCCACCGCATTTCCCTCGACCTCCTCAGCCGCAGATCCAACCCCCATCAAAATCCATAACCAGCAATCAAACTACCAATTCATCAGCTCGTTTACAATGGCGGCCGTAGCCGCAGGCTCAATCCCGTTAATGCTCCGTCTCTCCTACCTGTCCACCCCAATTATCATCGACATGGGCACAACACACGACGGCCTCCTCCGCCTAATCCAGGGCGAGATCGAGATTCGAATGCCTCAACTGACGGAAGACTTTACCTTTGACGGACTCGAAATTATGTGGGATCAGACGGTGCCCGGGGGCGTGTTCCCTGCATCGTCGCCGCTCGATCAATACAACTTGCAAGCGACGCTGGCGCTGCTACGGACAAGGCAGGGGAGGGATGCAATGGGCTTGAAGATTACGCCTTGCAAGGGAGCGGTTATGAGCCTTGTTTGAGGTTTGGAGGGGAAAAGGTCCCGCCGGTGGTTGGAGCTCCGTTGGTTGTTGTTGGTGAGGGGCAGCGCGCGCGTGCGGTGCGGTTGGAGGGGGAAATGAGGGGAAATAACTTCCCATCTGTATCATTTGTCGGGATGTTTTAACATGTCCTTACTACACTATATTTCCGTGTTTTTTACCCAACCAGGAAGTGTCAGCGGAATGGAATGGATGGATGGGTTTGGGTGGGGAAGTGTGCAATTGAGAGTATCTATTAATAAATATCTTACCTGAGGCCAGAAGAAAAAAACGTTATTTTTGGATGAAAGCAGTGCTTTATCTGGTTAACTGCTTCATGTGTCTATGCAGTTTGATGCCGAAAACATCGCCCCTACACCTATTAATTCCCAATTAGCCCAAAAATGTTTTTGCTGAGGGAGTCTCTCTTCTCATCCTGCTCTTCATTGTTCCTATTCATAATTCAAACGCCGTCAAAATTCCACGGGGCGGTGTGTTGGGTAGCAAACACGATAACCATGTACCTCGCCATACAAAAACAGCGGGGAAGTAACTTGGGCAATGACCCAGCCAAGCCTTCCACCACGTGAAGGCTGAGAGAGAGGCGTCCCAAACAACCGTCGACCCTTAACAACAAACTTCTTTGAAAGGAGTTGCCTGAACATCGCCTCTGCTTCAACACACAACAGGCAAACATACAAATGCGTATTCACCTGACAGACACTGCTGCCGCTGTATGCATGCTATAGCTCTCCCCGCGACCCAATTTACTCTGCTTCCACAAAATTCCACCGCCCGGAATATCCATTCCCCCCCAACTTGTACTACCTGAGTCTAGGTTGATATCTCCACCGCATCTCATCGCCGCGGATGATATCACGACGCAATGGACCATAGTGACTTCGATAGTGTCTCTTGGAGGAATGGTCCTGACAGCGATCTTTCGAGACCAACCACCTCTGGGACCGATGCTGAACGCTCCAGCAGATCAGGCTATGATATCAATGGGAAGAGACGGATGAGCTCCGCCGGGGAGGAGGCGCCGCAACTTTCCCCACACCCCGCCGGTGATCTTGCTGGAATTGGAGATGGAATGCTGGAATGCACAGTAGATTCGCCCTTGAAGGAGAACAGTGGCACGAAAGATGCCTATATTTCTTATCTCATTACCACCCATGTTGGTTCAAACCTCCATGCCCTATGCCCATGTCTAGTAGCTAGTATGGTGGCATAGCTAACATATCTCGTTTGCGATACGCCTTCCAGACCGACTTCAAATCCTTCCAGAAACCAAATTTCACCGTCCGTCGCCGTTATTCGGATTTCAATTTCCTGTACAACATCCTATTCCGCGAATATCCAGCATGCGCTGTCCCACCTCTACCGGACAAGCACAAGATGGAATATGTGCGTGGGGATCGATTTGGAACCGATTTCACTAATCGTCGAGCCTGGTCCCTTCACCGCTTCCTTAAGCGGCTCTGCCTCCACCCCGTTCTCCGCCGTGCCCCTATCCTAGTCGTATTCCTCGAATCTGCAGATTGGAACGCGCATATGCGACTTCGCCCATCACGCACCTCCACTAGTGCCTCCGATGGCGGCGGGGGTCCAACAGGGATTTTTGATAACTTCGCAGATACTTTCGTAAACGCTTTCACCAAAGTGCATAAACCAGACAAACGGTTCATCGAGGTGCGAGAGAAAGCGGATAAACTTGATGAGGACCTGAATCATGTCGAGAAGATTGTTGCAAGGGTTGTAAGGCGGGAGGCAGATCTCGAAACAGACTACAACGACCTGGCCACGCAATTTCGCAAGCTTGTCCTGCTCGAGCCAGACGTTGAGGTGCCGCTGCAAATATTTGCCGCCTCGGTAGAAGAGACCGCCCGCGGCATAAAAACCCTCAAAGACCACACAGACCAAAACTACCTAACCAGCCTACGGGATATGGAAGCATACATTCTCTCCCTCAAATCGCTACTGAAAACCCGCGAACAGAAACAACTAGACTTCGAGGCCCTGGTCGACTACCGTAACAGAGCCGTCTTCGATCGCGACTCCCTGACCAACAACCCAGCGTCATACTACTCCCCCAACCCACTCACCAGCAACCCAGCCTCCTTCATCCGCTCCAAAATGGAAGACATGCGCGGCGTCGACCACGAGCAATCACGCCGCGAGCGCATCCGCAAGCTAGAATTGCGCATTGACGAACTGACCCGGGAAGTCGAGAGCTCCAAAACCACGTCTGAAATGTTCGATGAGGAAGTTGTCAGGGAAGTTGCGGATTTTGAACGCATCAAGGCGATGGAGTTCCGTGATACGTTGGGGGCGCTGGCTGAGAAGCATGTAGAGTTCTATCAGGGGGTGTTGGCGACGTGGGAGCGGTTTATTGTTGAGATGGAGGCGGAGGGGGAATTGGATGCGGATCAGCGTCAGGGTCAGGGTCAGGGGCGGCACAAAAGTAAAAAAGGGGGGCTAGAAGATGCGCTTGTTGGGCTGGGGCATTCATGATATTTTTGTTTTTTTTTCTTGTGTTGGATGGGATGGGAAGGAGTATTGTGACTCACTGTCTTCTTCGTGTCTTCCTGCTATGCTCTGCGTGGTTTTATTGAAAAAGGGATGGTTGCATAATCGATGGCATTAGTTATTTTTTCTTTTCTTTTTGACATTATGGGAAGATGATGGGGTAACTCTATTACACATATCCTTCAAGAGATGGGAGATTGTGACTTTTTAAAAAAACACCCAAACTTGTTGAGTAGGAGTAGCTTCATAATTATCTGTACTACGGTGTGAATCAACAAAATATTCCTCCTTATTTTCTTCAGTTCCCTTAATACCAAACGATATAGATATCCACTGCTGCATGTACCCTTTCTCAATAGGTAATATAGTTCCAAAAGATGTGAAGACGAAAGATCTTGGGTGTTATAAA